AGCATAAGCTTTCGTGAGCTACAGCTCACATCATGCCAGACAGGCATGGATGCATCCGATGAAGTGAGCTGTAACTCACGAAAGCTTATGCTCAAATAAATTGGTTAGTCTCTAAGGTGCCACAAGTACTCCTTTTCTTTTTATCAAACAGGTCACCTTTAAAGAGACCTCCAACCACCTTTTCCCTGAGACACACCTGATATGTCTCTTTAGAGAGACCCACATCCATCCCCACAGTTACCACCCCCCCCACTCAAAGACACCTGTTACACACACAACTGACACTTCCCTCCTCCCCCACTCCCAGACCTCTAAGACCTACACCCTTCACAGACACCCTGACACTGCCCTACTTCTCCCACAGACCCAATACCTAGACCCCCCCAGACACTACCCTCTGTTCCCACTCACAGAGACCCCTGATATTTACACCCGTCATGGACACACTGACAATGCCCTTCTCCCCACTTACAGACCCCCCACAGACACCATAAAACTGTGTTCCTTCCCAACTCACAGACCTGAGATCTAGACTCCCCAGACACCCTGACACTGCTCTCCTCCCCACACTCACAGATCCCCCCCTGAGATCTAGACACCCAGACACTGCCTTCATCCCCCACTCACAGACCCCTGGTACCTACAGCCTCACAAACACCCTGACACTGCCCTACTCCATCCCTCACAACCCCCTGGTACCTACACCCCTCACAGACACCCTGACACTGCCCTCCTCCCCCGCTCACAGACCCCTGGTACCTACACCCCTCACAGACACCCTGACACTGCCCTCCTCCCCCGCTCACAGACCCCTGGTACCAACACCCCTCAACACACCCTGACACTGCCCTCCTCCCCCGCTCACAGACCCCTGGTACCTACAACCCTCACACACCCCCTGACACTGCCCTCCTCCCCCGCTCACAACCCCCTGGTACCTACACCCCTCACAGACACCCTGACACTGCCCTCCTCCCCCGCTCACAGACCCCTGGTACCTACACCCCTCACAGACACCCTGACACTGCCCTCCTCCCCCGCTCACAGACCCCTGGTACCTACACCCCTCACACCCCACACCCCCTGACATTGCCCTCCTCCCCCGCTCACAACCCCCTGGTACCTACACCCCTCACACACCCCCTGACACTGCCTTCATCCCCCACTCACAGACCCCTGGTACCTACAACCCTCACAAACACCCTGACACTGCCCTACTCCATCCCTCACAACCCCCTGGTACCTACACCCCTCACAGACACCCTGACACTGCCCTCCTCCCCCGCTCACAGACCCCTGGTACCTACACCCCTCACGACATTGCCCTCCCCCCCTGACAACCCCCTTACCTAACCCCTCACACCCCTGACACTGTACAGACCCCTGGTACCTACAACCCTCACACACCCCCTGACACTGCCCTCGTCCCCCTCACAACCCTCTGGTACCTACACCCCTCACAGACACCCTGACACTGCCCTCCTCCCCTGCTCACAGACCCCTGGTACCTACACCCCTCACACCCCCTGACACTGCCCTCCTCCCCCGCTCACAGACCCCTGGTACCTACACCCCTCAACACCCCCTGACACTGCCCTCCTCCCCCACTCACAGACCCCTGGTACCTACAGCCCTCACAAAGACCCTGACATTGCCCTCCTCCCCCGCTCACAGACCCCTGGTACCTACACCCCTCACACACCCCCTGACACTGCCCATCCCCCCTCACAACCCCTGGTACCCTCACAACCCCCTGACACTGCCCTCCTCCCCCGCTCACAACTCCCTGGTACCTACACCCCTCACACACCCCCTGACATTGCCCTCCTCCCCCGCTCACAGACCCCTGGTACCTACAACCCTCACACACCCCCTGACACTGCCCTCCTCCCCCGCTCACAGACCCCTGGTACCTACACCCCTCACACACCCCCAGACACTGCCCTCTTCTCCCGCTCACAGATTCCTAATACCCCCCCAGAAGACACTGTCTTCCTCCCACACTGACAGACCTTAGACCTGCCCCACACCACTACCCTCCTCTCCCAGCCATGCCCAGCCCAGCCCGACATTTCCCTTTCCCGTGTGACATTGGCCCTAGCCCCCCCTCCCCAGCCATACTGCAGGGACACCCAGCCAAGGGGAGGAAGTGATCAGCACAGGAAGTGTACACTGTTTCTATAGCAACCCCTCTGCAGCAGCCGCCAGGGCAGGCACAGAGAGGAGGAGGATGTGAGTGAGGAAGGCTCCCTCCTGGCTGAGTGACCAACATGCCTACGAACGCGGCTGCTGCTTCTGCCACTCCAGCTGGTGAGCCTGGCTCAGCTCCTGCCCCTTCCCAGCACCTATGAAGCTGCTTCCTCAAGGGCTGGAGCCACAGGGTTCATGACTTTGCGGGGAGGCATGCAGGGGGGAGGCATGCAGGTTATTCTGAATGCTCCTTCCTCCCCACCCTGATCTGTGTAGACTGGAAGCCCTACTCCAGCATCGGGTAATGGCATGTCACAGCACAGGGATGTGACTGCATTGCGTTTATCCTGCTTGACAAACTGTTAAAAATATGGTTAAGCATGGCCCTGGGGCGTCAGGACACCTGGGTTTTATTCCTGGCTGTACCATTGATGACTCACTAATAAATGAGGCTCACTGAGGTTCCTGATTAAAGTCTGCAAGTGGCTCAGACAGAGAGGTTATGATTGCTATTATCATAAGATCTTTCCTTCTGTGTGCACTGTGAAATACCCCCTTAGAGGTTCAGTGTGTAGCTGATTCATATTTTTTTTACTAATTAACAACAAAAAAAAAAATCAAAGTCTCAATGTTGTTTCTCCTTCACGGGGTTCAGAATGAAACTATTGTTCATATTTTGAAATTTTTTCCAGATTTTTTTACCTCAAAAATGGTATTGAAATTTTCACCAAATTGGTTATTGATGTTTTTGTTTGCTGAAAACTGGGCTTTCTGTTAATGAACAATCTCTATAACCACTTTGATAATAGTTTCAATAAAAAGTTCAATACAATGTGACAAATTGGGAGGTTAGCTGGGAAGTAGTACAGAGGTATTGGGCATCTGGATTACCTTTACCCTTTCAGGTTGCAGATCTCAGTATATCTGCAGTTTTAGGGGGCCACTGTCCATTCAATAGAAAATGGGGAGTGCAAACTTCTCCCTCTTTACCAATTAGGTGTTTCCAAGGACATGCCACAAGTCAAAATTCACCATGTTTGCCAGCCCTTCTGTGTGTTTGTGTTATGGAAAAGATTATTTAACCCAAACTCATTGCATTAACATTGTCAAAATGCCCACATGTTCTTCTCATTGAATACAGTAGGTCAGATTCTCAGCTGATGTAAATCAGTATAGTTCCATTGAGGTCTGCTGGGTTACTGTCCTAATGATACTGCTGACACTGTTTCTGAAAATAAACAAACAAAAACAAATAACTCTTCTCCAAAAGAAAACAAAAAAAAACCCCAAAACCACCAGCCAAAAGTAAGCCCCCAAGATTGTTGAGGCCTGGACCATCTCTTTGTTCTGTGCTTATACAGCACCTAACACAGTGGAGCTCTGGGTTCACAACTGAGGCTTCTCAGTGCCATTGCAATACAAATAAATAAATAGCAATAATATGCGGAGATAGAGAGAGAACACTTGTTAGGGACATTCATGCACTTTTTACATAAATTGTGTGGTGATTTCCTAATAATACTTAGCATGTATATGCTTTAGCATCTAAAATTGCTCTACAGTGTTGAGTAACCATTATTATTCCTACTTTGCACAGGGAGAAATTGAGGCACAAATAGGTTAAGCCCCACATTCTGAAACTTGTGTGATCTGTAGCATTGGATCCTGTATCTGTGAGGATCCTCATCACCTTGGCAAACCTAATGAAATAACACAATAGTGCACTCTGATACCACTGCTGTGGAAGGTGGTTCTTTGCTGACATCTTATTAGCCATTTTGGGTTACTTTTAAACTTAGCTGTCTGAAGTTAACTGTCTAGAACCATACATGGGCTCATACCAGGCCATTTATTTAGGTTTGCAAATTTTGGCCCTAAGTGACTTGCCCAAGGTCACACAACTAGTTTGTGGAAAAGCCCAGAAGAGAACTGATGTCACCTGATTCCCACTCCAGTGCCAGATTCTCTGGATGATACTGTCTGTAAATTTACAGCCTGATCCTGCATCACCAAAGTCATTGAGACTGTTTGCCAGAAGTTGGGAATGGGCAACAGGGGATGGGTCACTTGATGATTACCTGTTCGGTTCATTTCCTATGAAGCACCTGGCATTGGCCACTATCGGAAGACAGGATACTGGGCTAGTTGGACCTTTGGTATGACCCAGTACGGTCGTTCTTATGTTCTTGTCACAGACGTCAATGGGAGCAGGATTGCAGGCCATAATAACAAGCTGATGGCTACCGTAGAAATGCCATAGCTATTAGTAATACCAAGCAACACAGGATGATTAATAGAGTAAGTGTAGCCTAATGGATTGTGCACTGGACTGGGATCTATTCCTGGCTCCCCTGCTGGGTGACCTTGGGCTTGTCTCTCTGTGTCTCAGCTTCTGTAAAATTGGGATAATGATGCTTACCTCCTTTGCAATGTGCTTGGAGAGCTGCTAATGACAAACACTATGTAAGAGCGAAGCGTTTTTACTGGACAAAGAATCACTCTCTACAGTAGTTGTCATTCTGGTATCAAAATATGCTAAATGATAACTTGATGTTTCAGTAGGTTTGACCGTGTGATAAAGGTTCTCACAGACATAGCATCCAGTCCTACAGCCCTCATTCTGAAAAAGTTTATATTGGCTACTAGGGATGGGGAGTTTTGTCAGAGTAAAGATCAGGTTCATTATATTGCTGATGAGCATCTTCAAAACTAATAAACATTTCCATGTCATCATCTTCTGATTCATTCCATGTTTCATGTCCCCACAATGTCATCCAAGTGGTTAATGACCCTTTGTTATTCTTCAACAGCTGTCAAGAAGAAGCCAAATTATGCTAACCTACATGAGGCAGTGAAAGCCGGTGATGTAGAACAACTTGCATCAATGGTAAAAAGCGGAGCCAGTATTAATGAGGTGGATTTAGTCCATAAATTTACACCTTTGCACTGTGCAGCGCACTCTGGAAGCCTGGAGGTAAAACATTTTTTTAGATCTAGGACACAACAAGGTTCTTATGGATCAATGCTTTCCTTCTCAGGATAGGAGAGACTGAACACAGGCTTGCAAGCTCATGCTGATCTGGCTGAATCAATAATCTCTTTGTCTATTTATTGCTTAGTAAATCCATTCAGCACTAGTAAAGCAGGAACTTATGATGCATATACACTTTAAATATGATGCAAAAATTAATATATTATTTTTCAGTTTTCTAGACTTATTGTGCCTTTTCCATGCCCTAGGCATGTTATATGTATTCAGCGTCACAGGATTTCATAGTACATTACAGAAAAACCCAGAGGAGACTTTCCCAGTCCTAACATAGGCTCCATTTATAGTCTTCCTTACAGACTCATGCCTTCCTCCATCCCTCAAGCAACCTGTTCCGTCCTCCTCCCCTTCACTTCAGGGAAAGCCCAGGGAAATATGTAACATTTACAGAAAATCCTAAAAGTAACCAAATCTGGACTCTGGCCAACTAGATGAAAAGCGAATTTAAGAGCCATTGATTTCAACTGAGAAGTGTGCCACCAGCCCAGTTCCCTCTTATACCAATGGAATCTTAGTTTGAGTACATCAGGTGACTGAAGAAGGACTTGACAGGACTGTAACCATTTAGAGTTTTACAGATCAAAATCAACACCGTGACTATTTACCCGTAAATCAGTTGACAACCGCTGCACAAGTGTTATGAGCTTCCAGAGATTAAAAACTGGGCTACCACATTCTGAACTAGCAGCTGTGTCATGTTGTAACCTCATGTGGAATGCACCGTAGCAATCTAACCTTGAAGCGACAAATGCATGTGTAACTGTGGTAAGATCCATATACCAAAGGAAACTGCTTGCTAAATGCAAGTAATAAGAAATACATTGCTGCTTTCCACGTGTCCAGAAACCACCAGGGAGCTAACAAGACCCCCAGGTTTTTGGTCTTTAGAAACAAACTGTGCTCATATCCCATCAGTCTGGGCTGTTTCTATAGTTTCTGCCATTTTTCCAATGATTCCCCCACCCTGTAAGTCAAGTCGTGGTCTTGTTTGGGTTGAGTCTCATCTAGCCAACCTTCTCCAATGCCCCAGTTAGAGAGACAATAGAGGAACCAGTGATGGAGCCTGGCTTAAACTGCTGCTGGAGAAAATGTTGTACACCTAACAAATAAAGTTTTATTTCATGCTCTGGAGGGCACCTAGAGTTGCTGGAAGTGACCATTAGAGCACAAAATAATACCTCTGAAAGTGAGGCTTAGTCATGGGAAGATGGGAGGAGAGAAAGGGTACCACAAGTCCAGGAGTTTAAACAGAAAAATGTAGGAAGGCAAAGGGTTGATATTTTCCTTTGTTTGCAATAAACATAATCAGAATTGTAGAGAGGTATGTTTGTGCCCATTTCTCGAATTTTTAAATGTATCCTTTCACTTTCATAGTGGAAAGAAACATTACACAAATAGCCCTATAGGTTACATCTTAAATCTTTTAAAATTGAAATGTAAAATTACATAAGCCATACTGTAAGATCAGTAAGGCATGCTTGGGTCCGCTTTAGTACGCGATTGGTACATTTCTTGGATGGATGAAGGAATGAAGCTGTAGCTTTCTAATGCAGCAACAACTTACTAATGCGTGCTCTGTTGTGATTTATTGTAATAATGGAGAATTCCGATAATGCTTTGAAACATAATATCAACTGATAATTTGCAGTGAATTCCCTATTAGAACTGTATACTGGATCCATGATAATAACCTATATTTAAAACAAATGAATGTCTTTGTCTTTGTTTTGATTGGTAGTGTCTTCACTGGCTGCTCTGGCATGGGGCTGATATAACAGCTTTAGCTATAAGAGACTGGACAGCAGCTCACCTCGCTGCTATCGGAGGTCATGATACTTGTATGCAGGTAAGTGTAAATATTGACATCAAAAGTAAATAGGGCCGATCCTCACTCATTGTGGAACTGTGACAGTTCACACCAGCTGAGGATTTACTCCAGGGTTCTGAAAAGAAGTGGTAACAAGATTCATACTGTACACGATGGTGGGGTTTTCAAAGCTGCATAGGATATTTAGATGCCAACTGGACATCTGTATCCCTTAGATCAGTGGTTCTCAACCAGGGGTCCGGGGCACCCTGGGGGGGCCGTGAGCAGGTTTCAGGGCGTCCGCCAAACAGGGCCAGCATTAGACTCGCTGGGGCCCAGGTCAGAAAGCTAAAGCCCCGCCGCATGGGGCTGAAGCCTGAGGCCTTGAGCCCCACCACCTGGGACTGAAGCCAATGCCTGAGCAGCTTAGCTTCATGGGGGCTGCTGTGGCATAGGGCCCCAGGCAAATTGCCCTGCTTGCTACCCCCTAATGCAGGCCTTGGCTTTTATATGCAGAAAACCAGTTGTTGTGCCATAGTTGGGCCATCGCGTTTTTATAGCATGTTGGGGGGACCTCAGAAAGAAAAAAGTTGAGAACCCCTACCTTAGATAGCTTTGGAAACTTCAGCTAGATATTTTCAGAATTAGAAACATTTCTGATTATAAATAATACACAAGATAGATCTACCTATACATTATTATTATGTTCTTTATTGTTTGTACAGTGACAGTGCCTAGAAGCCCCAGTCAGGGACCAGGACCCCATTATATTAGCTGCTGTACAAACCCAGAATGCAAAGATGGTCTCTACCCCAAAGAGCTTATGATCTATGTGTAAGGCAAGAGACAACAGGTGGATATAAGACAGAGAGATGGGACAGCACAATATACTGCATTCATTGCTATGAGAGAAGACAACATCCATGTACTTATTTAATACTCCTTCCTACTTCACCCAGAAGTTACCCTGCTGACAGTATAAAGTAATCCTCCCAGGCGACATTTGCTATTTAATTTTGTAAACTGAATTTCTGCTTTGTATTTATTTAGGCCCTTGTAATGAATGGAGTAAACTTAACAGCTCAAGATGACCGAGGATGCACTCCATCACACCTAGCTGCAGCCCATGGACAATCATACACTTTACAAACCATACTCCGGAGTGGAATGGTGAGGAAATTTTATCTTCTGCGGGGATTTTTTTTTCTTTTTTTGAGAAATGGTACACTTGCATTATACCATTACAACTCCCTACAGGAGGGCCAAATCATGGTATACTTTTGCAAACAAAAACGTCCATTGATTTGATGGGACTTAGGACTGTAGGATTTGACCTGTAGTTTAGTTATTGTGTGTGTGCTATTGGTGAGAGCATACTAGTTTAAATTAATGTTAGTTATTTATTATGAGGCACATAAGGAAAATGATCCAAGAATTTAGAGAGAATGAATACTTTGGAAAAGTAGAACATTTCATTAGCTGATAGTGACTTATTTAAATAGAGATCAGAAGCTTTTATTATCATGATCTTTTTCAATCATAATATTTTTTTGCTTTAAAAAAAAGGCAAATTTATATCTAACATATAGTGAGCAGCAACATGGCCAGAGTATGTCAAAAATGTTATATATATAATGTGTGTATGTGTTTTAATTTTTTAAATAAAACCAAAAAACGTAGGGGAAAGTATGTATCTATATGCCTATAAATGGGAATCATTTGTTCATAGCATCTTTATTTAAAGTAATTTAAAAGTAATATAGGTTTTCATAACTGATTTGGTTACCTACTTTAAATTCCTGATTTCTGTTTACAAATGTAATCTCTGATGTACATGTTGTTTCCAATGAAACATATAGGAACTAAATAAATGAACCTGCTGCTTTCATTCTAGGATGCAAATGTTTCAGATAAGAATGACTGGAAACCGGTTCATTATGCTGCTTTTCATGGCCGCTTGGGTTGTTTGCAGCTTCTTATTAGATGGGGAGCTACTATAAATGACGCGGATAACAATGGAAATCTTCCAGGTACCTTGGGGAAAAAGAAGTCTACAGCTCTAACTTTTGGCTTTTAGTTGCTCTGTTATGTGAATATTTAGCAAATGACAAGTCATATACACGGGCAATATTTGCTAACAGATTTCACAAAGTTGCCACAGTTATCTTTCAAGAATTGGGGGAATTTATGTTATCCATAACGCCGATGCATGGTAACTGTTAGCTAATGCTGACTTCTTTTTATGGCAACCAGTGATGAGTTTCATCAGATACATTCTATGGCACTTTCTCATTCCTATATCCCAAGTTGAAACTATTGGGCCATATTCTGAACTTGGTGGCACTGGAATAAGTCTGGAGTACTCCAGTGTTTTCATTGGAGTTATTTCAGATTTACATTTGACTGAGATCAGATTCTGGATCATCTGATTTTGTCCCAATTCTGTCTCTTCCCCATCCCTGGCTCTTCATCCAAGTCCCATTCTCATCACATACAAAGTTTCAGTCTCCATTTCTCAGTTGTCTCATCCTAGTCCCAGTCTCCTTGCCCAGCAGGTCCTAGGACTTGTCCAGATGAACATTTAATGCACAGCATGCTGGGGTGTAAATCTGCATCGCACTAGCATGTTGCATACTAACTTCCCATATGGACTCTGCTGCTGCGCACTAAAAATTCCTGAGTGCACTATGAGCTACTCTGCTTTGAAACAGAAGTAGATCAAAGTGCACTAGGAACTTTTAGTGCATGGTGGCAGGGTCCACATGGACAGTTAGTGCATGGCAGGCAAGTATGAGGTAGATTTACGCTCCATCTTGTCACGCACTATTTGTCTAAAAAAGCCCCTAGTCTCACTCCTCCAGAATACCTGTCCCAGTCTCCCCACAATGTCCAGTCCCCTTGTCCAGCTGGTCCCAGTCTTCCATCACCTGGTCTTCCCCTGATCTGTCTCTCTCTCCACCCAAACCTCCACTCACTACCCCACACACATTCCCACTGGCTCCTTGCTCCTAGCCCCAGTCTCCCTCCCCAGGCTTCTCATCAAATATCAGTGTCATCCCCTGCCAGCTCCTTTTCCCAGTCTCTTGGCCCAGCCAATCTTTGTCTCCCCTCCCAGGCTCCTTGTCCCAGTCTACTCCTCCTGCCTTTCTCCACATCTGGTTCTTGTCCCCTCTGCATTTGAATCAGGCAGCTTCTTCCTGTATATTGCCTTGGCCCAATGATGGGGAGTCACTGAGACCACAGGAGAAACAGTCTCTCAGTTCTCAGTTCACGTATCTGGACCCAGAATCAGCATGACCTGCAGCAGATGCAGGGAAAGTCCTGCTCAGCCCTGGATTGGAGCATGCCCAGTATGGACAGAATCTTCAGGGAATTTAGCTTCTAAAATCTAAGAAGTCTCTACTGAGCATGTGCAAATTGCGATTTTTTTAAAGGCTTATAACTTGGCCAAATTCGGGGGGGGAGAAGGGGCTAGAACAAGGTAAGGATGGCAAAAGGCATATCCCTGACACAAAGGCCACGGGCCTGCCTAATTTCAAATCCCTGCTCCAAAGTGTGCGAGTTATAGACCTTTTCAAAGAAAACCTTAACAGACTTTTTTAAATGGGCAAAACAACATAATTTGGCTGAAATTAAATGACAACAACAAAAAATCAGCCTGAGGCAGATGCCTGGCATGGAAAATTTCAGCCTAAATGGTTAAAGTTTGGCAAAGTTATAAGCAACTGAAAACAGGATCTTATAATAAGAAGTATCAGGCCACCTTGATAATAGGGAATCGGCAGTGCTACCAGCCCTACCTACAATATAATGGCTCCTTTGAATTCACCTCTTCCTGGGAAACTCTGCATCTGCTTGGGTGAAATCCTGACTCCACTGAAGCCAATGGCAAAATTCTCATTGACTTCAACGGAGCCATGATTTCACCCCTTGAATTCTGGCCTTATGCAGCAGGCTTTTTTACTGCAGAGCCTCATAGAATTTGCATGGAGTGGAAGGCTGTGCATAGTTTGTTAGATAGTTCCTTTATTTTACACATGGCAAGAATTTACTTATATGAAATACATTAGTGGTGCTTGAACTGGATATAATGTTTTAGCTATTACAAGGGTAATAGAATTCTTAATTGAAGAGAAACCATTTTTCTTGACAATAATGGACTTTACAGTGAAATATTCCATCTTTCTGTCAGTAGCATATCAGCCATATTATACAGAATGTTTTCATGCAGTGACATTAGGTAACTAGTAAGTTTTTATTTGACATTCAGTTCCTCCTTCCCCTTTCCCACTGATGGGAATGGAAAACATGACAGTTTATAATGCAATGAGCATATTTTTTGCACTTCCATAGCTCATTTCATTATGGCTGCCAGCGCTCTTTATAAACATTAAATATTTAAGCCGTACAGTACCCTGTAACATCAGCAAGGTAACATGTAACCCACCATTACAAAGGAGCCACCTTTGGGGTAGAATGTAGCAGCTGCTGTACACAGCAATACTATACAACAATCCAGGACAGAAAAGGAAGAGGAATTCTGTATAGAAATGAAATTATAGGGGAATTTATGATTTTGTATTTAAAAAAAAGATATGAAATTAGATTAATCTTCTGCTTGTTGTAAATAACTGCACTATGTACGTCAAATATAAATAAGGTGAATTAAGCTCACACTTTGGAGCAGGTTTGAAGCTGCTGAGAAGCTGCTTTCTCGACTGGTGAGATATTAATCCTCACATTTATGTGTTGTGCTGTTTTGTCTTTGCCTAATAAAACCTGAATAACCCTTGGTTATCTGACATCTGATCAATAGTCTAAATCAGACTCTAACAGTGGGCTGAACAGTAACAACAATTTAGCTAAGTAGCTCTTCATTTGGCAGGTGGCTGTGCTCAGGTTTAATATTGCCATGTTCTTCCTTTGTGCAATAGCTCATCTGGCAGCAATGGAGGGCCACCTGCATTGTTTTAAGTTCTTGGTTAGTAAAATGGCCTGTGTGTCTCACACCTTGAAAGCCAGGAATGACCATGGGGAGACCCCAAAGGACTTGGCACAGAGATTCTATAAGGATAATATTGTACAGTACATCGACAGCGTGGAACATGAGAGAGATCATCCAGAAGAACAGGAAAGTGAGTAGGTGCCTGAAAAGCTTCTGAGATACTAGCTTGTAAAACAGAAAATGCCACAATGCAACAATAACTCTGTAGAAATGAGTGATACAAATGATCTGGGCAGCAGGTGATTCTAACTTTCAAGTGGAACTGTGTATAAGCAGTGTGAGAAACAGCTGAAGCTTCCGATAGTTGTTAACTTTATTTACATGTGTGTCATGTCTCCGATTTTCTCATAATGAAAACAAAACAGCAACACTATACTATGCAGTCCTTTTGCTTTAGTTATACAAAGCTGTTCATATTCCTTTTACAATCTGACACATATTCCAATGTCCACAAATTTCCAGGCAGTTACATATTTAGGACAAGATTTTGGTTCCCTTATTCATTTTGAGTTATACCTTACTCTGGCAATAGTCCCACTGAAATCAATAGGACTACTTGATAAGTAAGTATTATTCAAGAGAAAGGATAGCAGAAGCTTGCCCATTATGATTATTCTGAAGGGAAGACTTGCTCGATTTTTCAAGCACTCATTCCATATCTATTAGTCTTTTCTTAGTATTAATCATATCAACTAACAAGAAAAATCAAAGTGCCTCAATGGATAATTTTTCCACCAAGAAAAATTAATACATTGTATATCCTACCTAGGACCATTGACTTGAAAATAAGGAGACAGCTTCAGTTCCCAGCATTATTAGTCCATTAACTTTCAACCAAAGGTATATTTATTACTACAGAAATATGAAGTGAATCTCCTCTCTGTAAAATTATATAAGATGCCTGTAGCCAGTAGCCAAGACATGCTTAATGAAGCCTGTGATGATAATGCTATGTTCTGCAGCCGTGTTTCAACCAATTAAGGGTGCATTAACCTCACTAACAAGTATGACATTTCCATGTTTAAATTATTATTTAGAGAGAGAAACTATGAAAGGTGAGGTGAAAAAATAGCTTGTTTGCCTACTTATTGGAGTTACCGGCATTTACTTGGATTCATGTCTGTTCCATTTTTCAGATTTAGCATTTCCAGGTCATGTTGCTGCCTTCAAAGGGGACTTGGTGACACTTAGAAGATTAGTGGAAAGTGGAATCATCAATATTAATGAGCGGGATGATAAGGGATCCACTCTCATGCACAAAGGTCAGTAATTAGGAACTGTGTTGCAGCTCATTACTGTTTGTTATTGACTTGTTCACTTACTTATTTAAGTGGCTGCTCATCAGGTAAGCTCATGAACTACAGCATCTCATTTTCCCAAGAGCTCCAAAGGGCAGCCAGCAGAGATTATGCAGACAAAAATACATATTTGGTGGTTGTCATCCTTTGTATGCATCACAAGTTGAAGTCTAGATTGTTACTGCTGCATCACCAAGGGTAGCAAGATGGTGCAGTGCACTCTCCAATTTCCTAATCATGCATTTCCCCACCATATTTGACCATCTTCATCACTGCCCTTCAGTCACCTTGTAAAGATTGAAGTAAGCCAAATTTCTGCATTGTGGCAGCCACTCTGGCCATTTCAGTCAGCAGCCTGTTAAGCCTAGTCCAGGATCTGCATCCCAGGTTGCAAACAGCTGGATGTAAGTGTGATATATCTGGGTACAATCTAAACTATATGAGCAGCTGTGCCACCCTTGCCCTGCAACCTGGGGTGCCTTACAATGCCTTGATGAAGAAGTTCCCACATGGGCTGCTCACAAAGCCTTCCAGCATGCAAGCCACACCTGAGTGTTCGTGTGTAACTGCGGCCTGCCAGCCACATATGGCTTTCACCAGCCTGGGTTATATTGCAGGGTGACCCCAACACGCTCCCAGTTTTGATTTCCACCCAGGAAATTTCCACCCTCTCCTGGGCAATACAAGTTTATATAAAGTCTGTTATTTCTTTAATATATATACAACTTGCCACTCCAAATGGAGTGTCCCAAAAACTTCAATTTAAACACACTGGATTAGATGAAACAACAGAACAAATGTATTAACTACAAAGAGAGAAATTTTAAGTGAGTACAAGTAATGAGGCATGAAAGTCAGAAATGATTACAAGAAACAAAGTTAAAATGCTGATGCCTAAATTAACAAACTATGTTAAATTCAAAGCACTGTTTTCTCACCACATGCTTTCATCAGTCTCACTGACCAAACTTCTTAGGTTAGGACCCCTTCTCCCTGTATCCAGTGAATGCTTCCTTTGTCGCTTCAGGTGCTGTCAATGAGACATGCAGGGAGAGAGAGTTGGGGTCCTTGAGATATTTGTCCCTCCTTTTTATAGTTTCTGTCTCCCTCTTAAAAAACATTTCCAGCTGAGTACCAGGAGACAAAAAGTCTATGGGAAAGGATGTTCCCTGCTGCTTTTTCCTCACCTGTTTGAGCTTCCTTTGTTTCCCTTCTGGCTTCAGGACTCTGTTTGCCGCTTAAATGCAAATTAAACAGAGCACACATTCCTTTGTTTGAGACAGACCTATTTGCCAACCTCAGTATGGAACGTGTTAACACCATATAGTGGAATCTTATAACTTCACATACAATGTGGACATACACATTTTATCAGGACAATAATGAGCAGCAAATTATGAGTTTTCAAATGATACCTCATAAGGCATACGTTGTACAAAGATTATTACAGTAGTGTGTAGGGTGTGAATATAGGGGTACATTCTCCCACAGTAAGTTATATCCATTTTTGGTGGTGCATGCATGCATAGGTGGGAATTGCTAAAAAATGAGAATAATCAAGTTGAAGTCCAAAAAAAATTTAAAATTTTTAAAAAATTCAACAACTCTAATCTGTTTAGATGTAACTTTTAGAAATATTGTGTATGTAGCTATGGAACTGTACAGTACTGTGAACTGCATCTTTACTTTCTAAGCACTTGAACACTATGGTGATGTGCAATGTACAAAACCACATGATAGACATACGGTAGTACACTGTGGAGGACTATGATGCTGTATGTACAGGGCTATCTAACACATTGCTTTGCAGCAGAGTGATGCAGAAGGTGTGAGCTATTTTTTGCAGTTTGCCTTTAAAGCTCATCCCTCCCCTGTGCAGGGCTGGCCCAAGCTGTTTGCTGGAGCCCGGTCCTCCATGCCCACGCGGGGCTGGCGTCGCTGCTCACCCAAGCCCTACCTGCCCCCCACTCGAGCCCTGCCTCTCCCAATGTGCGGGACTGGCATCACCACTCCCCCCGCCCTGACATTTTTCTCCACACACCACTTTTTTGGCAAAAGTGGGCATTTGTCCCATTTGCTGCAAGTTGGCAGGAGCAAACGGGGAAAATGCCCACTTTTGCCAAAAAAGTCAGGGTAGCTGGGACAGGGCTTAAAAAAGGGACTGTCCTGGCCAAAACGGAACCCTGTGCTTAGGTCATAGCTGTCTAGGAGGAGCTGCCTATATACTTGTGGAGCTAGAGGGAGGCACAGAGTGGGTTCTGGCTCTAAAAGAGACAGACACCCCAACCAGTACAGTCTACACAAACAAACTTCCATTACACATTTTCCCTTGCAGACCCTGATTCAACAAAGCACTTGGTCTGTTGACTTCCAATGAGACTATTCATGTGCTTAAAGATAAACAAGTGTTTAAGTGGTTTGCTGAGTCAGGGTCCTACTCTGTTTGTGTTTTCCTTTCTGTGTCCCCTAGGATTATATTATTGTAAATTGTTCTATATCAATCATAAAATCTGTCACTTTCTTTTAAAAACATATTTAATCTTTTCCAGGAATAATTCTCCAGTCCTACAAGGTTTGATTGTAACTCCTCAGATTGATGCTATCCCTAAGGCAAATGTTTTTCTTCTAATATATACTAAAAAATTACCACTTGCTTGATTCAGATCATCCCTTTTGCAGCACTGTTAATTATGAGTCAGATGCCCTACTTCTGACATCATATGCTATGTGGGAAGCTAAAAGAGATGGATTTTCCCTTTGATAACTGTCAATGCTGTAGTTCTCAAAGGGAACCAAGCAAAGCTCTCCTCCCCGCACCCTGATGCCAACGTGTTACTTCATAAACAGGAGCAAGAGAAAGTTGTAAATGGTGTTAACATTTCAGGTCAAGTGTTTGTACCAGCTCTAGATGGGTGAAGGAAAGCCAGTATAAGGAGCAAACAGATGGTATCCCATGACATTGATGGCTAGAAAAACTGTGAAAAGAGAGAAATATTGTAGGGATACAAAGCTATGGTTGGGGAGGACCAAAAAGAATGGAACTGCTTGACAAAAGCCTGCCACCCAGATAAAATAAACATGCACGTGGCAGCTATCATTTGGTGCTTTCTCAGGGGTTGTATTGACATTTGAGAAAAGCATTTGCCCAGATCCTGAAAACAATTTAGGTGCCTAACTTATTGAAATTAATGGGAGTTAGGCACCTAAATGCCTTTGAGGATCTGGGCCTAATCATAACCAGAAGGCATAGTAGATAAATAAGGAACCCGTAAGTAGCATAAAATACCGCACCATAGTTTTAGAACATATGGTAGATCTGCAGCTTCATATTATGCTGCATTGCAAGAGCCATGAGCCAGTAACAGAATTCTCTCCCAGGCAATCAAAGCTCTTGTCCATTCAACACTCATCCTTAGGATACTGTATGGAACCTTTAATGGATGCCCAGTGTTACAGAAGCCATAATACTTCACACAGCTGAGAACATACTTGGGGACACCAGATAATAAGAACCAAACTGACCAGCCTGTAGTGGATGAGCTTAGGTAGTGTACCTTCAGGAGGCATCCTAAGATCAAACTCCAGGCTGATAGCTATGGGGCCAGAACTTTCTCCTGACTTCAGTACCGTTGCACCACTTACAGAACTGAGGATCAGCCAATAACATTTACTTTACATAAAAGAGGAAATGAAAATAAAAACAGGCTTATACTCCGGGGTAGCATTTGGCCCATTATAAACTAATATTTCCATCATAGGTTGCTAGTGACATGTATAAACTATACATACTTTAGAGGGTGTCAAGTCATGTTAGGGAAAAGGCATTTTTGAAAAAAAGTGTGTATAATTGACTTTAGTACATATTCTTTTTCCTTAGCTGCTGGACAAGGACACATAAGCTGCTTGCAATGGTTGATTGGTATAGGAGCTGCTTGTGACATTACGAATGAAGCTGGAGAGACTCCAAAAGACGTAGCCAAAAGGTAGCAGTTCAGATCTCTGAGCTATAATTTATTTGTATAGGGGCTGATTCTGTACTCACTGCTTTTATACGACTGTAACTCTGTTGACTTCAGGTAATGTTACTCCTGATATACATTGGTGTAGGTGAGAGCAGAATCAAGCCCATGAATTTCAACTTTGGGTTAACAGCCTTTTGGCTCTATTGGTGTTGCAAAGGGTTATATTGAGGGTATTTATATTGTAACTAGAGATGGGTCAAATTCTGTATAAGGCGAGGTGAGACCTGTTTAGTTTAGAAAAGAGAAGATTGAGAGGAGACATGATAGAGGTATACAAAATAATGAACACTGCAGAAGACCAGCTGGCCACTCCTGTTTACCTTTAAATATAATACAGGTGCTTATTTGATTCAAATAAAAGGCAAAATAAATTTAAAATAACTAAAAGGAAATACATTTTTGCACAACTTATTAAACTGTGCAATTAACTGCCACCGGATATTACTGAGGCAGAAGTGTAGCCTCATCAAAATGGTGCAAAACCCATTTTAGCTGGCTGCAGCTTGTGCGCTAGAGGTATAGGCTCCCCTGTGTACCTTAAAGTCCCACATTAACTACCACTGAAGTAAATGGGAGTGTGAAGAACGCACGGGAGCTGCTGCTATTTGACATATATTCAAGTGCGTGTGTTCTAATCAGCAGTGGATCTTGGGCTGCTTTTTCAGAGGTGCGTGTGTTTTTCACTGGCTATGAACTATTGACTGTGTTGTGCAGATTCGCCCAGTTGGCAGCTGCGGAGCTTTTGAGACGGGCAATGGGAGACGATTCTGATGAAGAAATAGATGACAACGATGAAAGGTTTTTCGACAGACATGGTGTGGAAGGGAGCACAGACACCACGGAAGATTTCATTCCAGATGAAGCAAAAAAAAGGGACGCCCGCAGTAAGTTCTGTCTCTCTTTACTGAGTCTTCTCTTGAATAGGTGGGAAGGAATGAGAATCCTAGAACAAAATATTTTTAGTTGCAGAGTTTCTCCCTACTGCTGCAGAATCTTTTGTCAGTACCAATGAGCTTTAAAATAAATTGTGGAAATCAAGAAAAATATTTTAATCATGGAAGGATCTGGTCCAAGAGGTAACTATAACAGGACCGCTTGGAAATAGTGACCATAATATGATAACATTTAACATTCCTGTGGTGGGAAGAACACCTCAGCAGTCCAACACTGTGGCATTTAATTTCAGAACGGGGAACTATGCAAAAACGAGGAGGTTAGTTAAACAGAAATTAAAAGGTACAGTGACTAGAGTGAAATCCCTGCAAGCTGCGTGGACACTTTTCAAAGACACCATAATAGAGGCTCAACTTAAATGTATACCCCAAATTAAAAAACACAGTAAAAGAGCTAAAAAAGAGCAACCGTGGCTTAACAGTGAGAGATAAAAAGGCATCTTTTTAAAAAGTGGAAGTCAAATCCTGGTGAGGTAAATAGAAAGGAGCATAAACACTGCCAAATTACATGTAAAAATGTAATAAGAAAAGCCAAAAAGGAGTTTGAAGAACAGATAGCCAAAACCTCAGAAGGTAATAACAAAATGTTTTTTAAGTACATCAGAAGCAGGAAGCCTGCTAAACAACCAGTGGGGCCCCTGGACGATCGAGGTACAAAAGGAGCACTTAAAGATGATAAAGTCATTGTGGAGAAACTAAAAGAATTCTTTGCTTCAGTCTTCCCAGCTGAAGATGTTAGGGAGATTCCCAAACCTGAGCTGTCTTTTGTAGGTGACAAATCTGAGGAATTGTCACAAATTGAAGTGTCACTTGAGGACGTTTTGGAATTAATTGAGAAACTTAACAATAACAAGACACTGGAACCAGATGGCATTCACCCAAGAGTTCTGAAAGAATTCAAATGTGAAATTGCGGAACTATTAACTATGGTTTGTAACCTGTCCTTTAAATCAGCTTCTGTACCCAGTGACTGGAAGATAGTTAATGTAGCGCCAATATCTAAAAAGGTCTCTAGAGGTGATCCTGGCAATTACAGATCGGTAAGTCTAACGTCAGTACCGGGCAAATTAGTTGAAACAATAGTAAAGAATAAAATTGTCAGACACATAGAAGAACATAAATTGTTGGGCAAAAGTCAACATGGTTTATGTAAAGGGAAATCATGTCTTACTAATCTATTAGAGTTCCTTGAGGGGGTCAACAAACATGTGGACAAGGGAGATCCAGTGGACATAGTGTACTTAGATTTCCAGAAAGCCTTTGACAAGGTCCCTCACCAAAGGCTCTTACTTAAGTTAAGTTGTCATGGGATAAGAGGGAAGATCCTTTCATGGACTGAGAACTGGTTAAAAGACAGGGAGCAAAGGGTAGGAATAAATGGTACATTTTCAGAATGGAGAGGGGTAACTAGTGGTGTTCCCCAAGGGTCAGTCCTAGGACCAATCCTATTCAACTTATTCATAAATGATCTGTAGACAGGGATAAACAGTGAGGTGGCAAAGTTTGCAGCTGATACTAAACTGCTCAAGATAGTTGAGAACAAAGCAGACTGTGAGGAACTTCAAAAAGATCTCCCAAAACTAAGTGATTGGGCAACAAAATGGCAAATGAAATTTAATGTGGATAAATGTAAAGTAATGCACATTGGAAAAAAATAACCCCAACTATATATACAATATGATGGGGGCTAATTTAGCTGCAACTAATCAGGAGAAAGATCTTGGAGTCGTCATTGATAGTTCTCTGAAGACGTCCATGCAGTGTGCAGTGGCAGTCGAAAAAGCAAACGGGATGTTAGGAATCATTAAAAAAGGGATAGAGAATAAGGTGGAGAATATCTTATTGCCCTTATATAAATCCATGGTAGGCCCACATCTTGAATATTGTATACAGATGTGGTCCCCTCATCTCAAAAAAGATATACTGGCATTAGAAAAGGTTCAGAAAAGGGCAACTAAAATGATTAGGGGTTTGGAATGGGTCCCATATGAGGAGAGATTAAAGAGGCTAGGACTTTTCGGCTCGGAAAGGAGGAGACTAAGGGGGGGATATGATAGAGATATATAAAATCATGAGTGATGTGGAGAAAGTGAATAAGGAAAAGTTATTTACTTTTGTTCCCATAATATAAGAACTAGGGGCCACCAAATGAAATTAATGGGCAGCAGGTTTAAAACAAATAAAAGGAAGTTCTTCTTCACACAGTGCACGGTCAACCTGTGGAACTCCTTGCCTGAGGAGGTTGTGAAGGCTAGGACTATAACAGGGTTTAAAAGAGAATTGGATAAATTCATGGAGGTTAAGTCCATTAATGGCTATTAGCCAGGATGGGTAAGGAATGGTGTCCCTAGCCTCTGTTTGTCAGAGGGTGGAGATGGATGGCAGGAGAGAGATCACTAGATCATTACCTGTTAGGTTCACTCCCTCAGGGGCACCTGGCATTGGCCACTGTCGGCTGACAGGATACTGGGCTGGATGGACCTCTGGTCTGACCCAATATGGCCATTCTTATGTTCTTAAGTTAGAACAGAAGATAATTTAGGTCAATCTAGTCCATCTCTGGAAAGCCAGCACAGGATTGTTCCTTACAGTATTTTTTTGAGTGATGTGTCTGATGTAGTTTTAAATCTATTCAGTAATGGTGATTCTGCTACTTTCTTTGGGAGATTGTTCCACAGTCTAATAGAGCCCACTGCGAAAAAACATCTCCCAACCTTCAGAAAACCCAGCTTCTTCACGCACATCCTCATGTTAGCTACCCAGTCTGCTACCCAGTTAGCTGTCTGTCTTGCAGTCAGAGCCTACCAAAAGATTGAAAAACTTCGGCAACTTCTAGAAATTGCCTACAGCAACTACAAACAGCTGGGAGGAATAACTGTAGAGGAGAGGAAGAAGAAGAAAGAAGAAAGGGAGGCTGAAAAGTAAGATTCAATTAACTCTGTAATGTTTGTAAAATCTGTGGAGATCCATGGATGCAAGGAGCTAGATGAATGCAATGTATTAGTGTTACTTAATATTGTATTTATTTATTATGTTTCAAATGCAGAACCTATGGTTAAGAACTTAGATGGCTACTAGGTCTAAAAAACCTCAGCAAAGGCATACTTGGGCTTCTAGCCACTTCCATAATGTTTACCTGATTCCCCGGTGTCTCATTACTATACAGAAGTGTTCCGTTAAATGGTTTAAAGGAAGTGCAATATTGTCTTGCTATGATTTTGGAATATTAAATGGCGGTGTCACTTTTTGTAGGTTATTTCAACTTCCTCCTGGACACTTGGCTACTTACCGTTGTCCAAGGCCCAGAGTTTTAAAGGTAGTTACGCATGGCTCCACTCAGTGTCATTGTCAAAAGTGATGTGGGCACTTAGGATCCTATGTCCCAGGTGCAAAGCAGTACCTAAATACCTTTAAAATCTGGGCCTGAACCCCTGCAGATCCACTGTCCCTCTCTATCTCTCTCTCTCTGTTACAGTCTGTTGGGATCCCCGAGCCAATGCCTCTTGTTAGTCACTGATAAAAGGTGCGTGTTTGGGAAAGAACTGACTTACAGCGGGATAGCAGATGGACAGCAGGGCTGGCAGAGACTCTGTTGCTTTGGGGGGAGCAAAAGATGTCACCAGTGGGATTAAAAGTATTAACTTAAAACTTTAAAGGATATGACTCAACGGACTGCTAACAGGGTCCCTTTCAGCTCTAAGTCAGTGTTCAAATCCATCCATCCCAGGTTGGTAGTGAGCGAAAAGGCATGACTATCTTGTTTGGCTTGTGAAAAATGAATTTGTATTTTCAGTCCAGTTGCATCCACATCACAAAAGCCGCCATTACAACTGGCACTGATTGGCTCCTTTACTGACAATATCTGCAGAGTAACCAAGGACTGAATGAGCATATGGAGACTATACTGTCTCCATACAAAGGATTCCTCCATGGATATTTCAAGACATGCTGGCCGAGCAGTGCGGGGAAAGCTTGCCCTTGCTATTGCCTCCATGGCCAGTGACCTTTATTCTCGAGGGCTGTTAATTCCTGGCTTTTCTAAATTCACTCCAATGGCTTTTCAGTGCCCACTCACACATTTTAAAATGTTTTGTTTTATAAATAGTTGGGGTGAAATAGACAAGCAAAGGAGCCACTCAGGACATATTCCAGGACATAGTTCCCCCTTGTCAGCATATAGACTTGGCAACAATCTGGCTCCTTCTGTTCAACACTTGTCAGCAAGGCACTTGGCATCAGGATACCTGCCCCAAGTTCCCAGCCCCAAATATCATAGTGGCAGAGCAAGTCACTTATGGCCTGATTTTCAGACATGCTGAGTATCTGCACTTCACTTGATTTCAGTGGGAACTGTGGATGCTCAGCATACCTGACAGGCAGGCAAACTCTCAGTGCTTCCTTCTGTAAAATGGGGATAATACTTACTATATTTCTTCCCTGTTTAAATTTACAGAGCCTGTGTGTTTCTAACGTACACCAGTGTGATTGTGTTGATTCATGGTTGCGTGAGGGAGAACAGACTCAGACCGGACGTTTCAGTTTGACATTAGACAGCTGGTCACAATAAGAATGACAGGATATGAAATGTGAATGTCTAAACTGAAAAAGGGATTGCTTAGTAGCTCTTGCTGCAGCTTCACCCATAGTAAACCACATGCACATTTTGGTTCATCTTTGAATCTCTTCCTTCATTTGGGATTTAGCTTTAGACTTGGAAACAGTTTAAGGGAACCATCTACTGCCATGCAAGGTCTGCCACCTGAGCGCCTATTGTTTAAGGAACCTGTTTGGAAGAACCTTCACCATTTTGTATGAACCTTTTGGTTCTGCAGTTATTTTTCTTGTCCTGTTAGTTGTGGCCAGGAGCTGAGCATGTAGCCTGGCAGGTACTTCTAAGGCTCCCAAACTTTTTACTAAGACAACCCATCAACGGCATTTTGTCCCTTTTGGGGACCCATCATTACCCGTTTCTCTCCCACCACAGCCTAGCCTCCAAGGCCTCTGCTCGACTTCCCCCAGGCCCACCTGTTTCTGCAGTCCCCCTCTCCCTGCAGCTGGGCTGTGATTGCTACCAGGCTGCTGACTATCCACTCGCTTCCTCCCTGCTGTTGCTGCTCAGGGGAAGTGAGAGCAGCGGGATGCGGGCAGCTGTGCAGAGGAAGTGGCCAAAGCCAATGATAGGACAGTCAACAGCCTATCCCTGCCTGTGCGTGCCTTGGAGGCACTTCCTCCACGCTCCTGCTGCCCAGTCCCACTCCCCACGTGAAATGAGAGCACACGGGGAGAGCAACACCTAGACCAGGGGTGGCCAAACTGTGGCTCTTTTACTGTTAAAGTGTGGCTCACAGAGCCACCCCATGTACCCCCAATTCTCCACCTACCAGACCTGGGCGGCGGGGGGAGCTTGGGACCTTTGCCTTGCAGTGGGGTGGTGGGGTAGGGGCTTCTGCTGAGTGGAGAGGTGGGGCTCGGGCTTCTGCCCCATGGGGTGCACGTGCTGGGGCTTGGTACTTCAGCTGCTGCGGGGCTGAGGTCCCAAACCCCGGCAGGCACACCCCAGCTCTTGAACGTCTGAAGATTTGTTGTATGCAGCTCCGAGGGTCAGGAAGTTTGGCCACTCCTGACCTAGACCCTTCCTGCAACCTACTGTTTGGGTAACACTGCTTTACAGGCTGTCAGGTCTGCTCCAGTGTGTGGGATGATGTTGCCCTCTAGTGGTTGGTCTATGTTGAGTATAAACTTTAGTACTAGTCTGCTGCCAGCGAAGGGTTATTGTCCTTCTGCTCGGGCCTGTGATGACAGCCGATGGTTCTGAGTGACTTATCGCCCATGAACGTGATTTAGTCTTTACGTATGTAACCCTTCTGCCAGGTGGTGTTGATAGCAACAAGGGCCAGGTTCAATGCCAAGGCATTTCTCCTAACAACAGAAAATAGAACCGGCTTGAGCCCCCACCCAGCAATCTGGAAAACCAACCAGAACCCCCAGCTGCCTCTAAGCGTCAGTACTTCCCCTCTCACAAGCACTGAGTCTGTGTATCGCAAAGAAAATTTTTAATAAAAAGGGAAAAGGAACCCAGCATTACTTTGAGAAAACCCCACAGCCACGATTCAAAACCCCAGGACCATGGGCAAACACCCACCCCAGACTACGTTGGGCAGTGTCCTTTGCTTCAGTCTCTCACCTTGTGGTGTGAAAGTCTGACATCCAAATGTTCCTCTAACATGCCACTGCCCTCTCCCTCCACTGCACCCCACTCACAGTTGCTGTCCTTGGTCAGCAAAGATCCAGAGTTCAGGGGTGTGTTCATGTGAGTTCACCTCCCATCCCGAGATGGGGTGAGGGGAAGATATGGAGCGATGTCTCTGTGCTGACATCGCCGCGGTTCACTCTGCTGTCATTGCTGGCTGCTGTTGGCTGCTCTCTGACCCCACTGTCAATCTCTGCCTCTGCTGGCCGCTGTTCTTCTGCCTCTTCACGTTCTGAAGTTCCACCACTTAACCCAGCTCTCCGTGATGTCAGCAGGTAGCGGGGAATCTCACTGCTAGAGCAGCCTGTCCAGTCTCTTTCACCACACCATTGTCCCACACCAGATCTAAGGCTATGTCTAGACTATCACTTGTATTGGCAAAACTTATGTCGCTCAAGGGTGTGGAAAAAACATCCCTTGAGCAACATAAGTTTCGCCAGCATAAGTGGTACTATACACAGCGCTGTGTTGGTAGGAGAGCTTCTCCTGCTGACGTAGCTACCGTGGGGGTGGTTTTATTATGTCAACAGGAGAGCTCTTTCTCGTTGGCACAGAGCAGCTACAGGAGAGATCTGACAGCGGTGCACCTGCATCAGCACAGCTGTGATGCTGTAGGCTCTCTAGCATAGACATAGCCTAAGTGATTTCAGCTCCAGTGATTACAGAACAAAACAAGGTTCTCAACTGAGTCTAATCAGTTCTGTCTTTAAACAGTGGAGAGATGAGAGGAGGGTCAACTGGTGTCTAAAACTCCTGAGGCAGAGCCAACACCGCCAGGTAGAAACACCTCTCCCTACTCTCTCTCCACTTCACTGGGGTTTATCCCTACCCCCTGCTTAACGAGTGAGGTTCAATTTAGGGTGACCCCCTCAATCAGGGGCAGGTTAAGTACAGTTCTGATGCCCTTTACTCGTACAATAAGAATAACAACATTTCATTACTCCTGGTTTCAATACGTCAATGCTTTAACAGAGGCAATATCGTATTGCCTCTATGTAAATCCATGATACGCTCACATCTTGAATACTGCGTGCAGATGTGGTCATCCCATCTCAAAAAAGATATATTGGAATTGGAAAAGGTTCAGGAAAGGGCAACAAAAATGATTAGGGGTATGGAATAGCTTTCATCTGAGAGATTAATAAGACTGGAACTTCTTAGCTTGCAAAAGAGACAACTAAGGGGGGATATGATACAGGTCTATAAAATCATGACTGGTGTGGAGAAAGTAAATAAGGAAGTGTTATTTACTCCATCTCATAACACAAGAACCAGGGGTCACCAAATGAAATTAAGAGGCAGGAGGTTTAAAACAAACAAAAGGAAGTATTTTTTCACACAATGCACAGTCAACCTGTGGAACTCTTTGCCAGAGGCTGTTGTGAAGGCCAAGACTATAACAGGATTCAAAAAACCAACAAACCAGCCAACCTAGATAAGTTCCTAGAGGATAGGTCCATCAATGGCTATTAGCCAGGATGTGTAGAGATGCAAAACCATGCTCTGAAATGTCCCTAGTCTCTGTTTGCCAGAAGCTGGGAATTGGAACAGGGGATGGATCACTTGATGACTACCTGTTCTGTTCATACCCTCAGAAGCACCTGGAATTGGCCACCGTCAGAAGACAGGAAACTGGGCTAGATGGACCACTGGTCTGACCCAGTATGGCCGATCTTATGTAAAGTGATTTGTAACTCATCACCAGTTAAAATTGATCACTTTGGCAAAGCAGCTCCATCGGCTGCATTCCTAGTTGGAATAGGTGTGTTTACATAAATATGGTCCGTTCCTCAAGTCTTCTCCCCACAGCTCATCACTAGATGTCAGGGAAGAGTTCATTCAGACCCTTCTTACATCTATGTAGACCTGGCTTGTTACAGCAGCAAAGAGCTTCTCTCTCTTCTCCCCACCTAGTGCAGTAGCTGAGCAGGATTCCAATTTAGAGTTCTCCAGAGTGCGAGGTCATGCACTGGCTAATGTGTGTAGTTTTTCCTCCATAGTCCCAAAGAGATTTCACACTCATTGGAGCAGGGAGCATGTCTCCATTAAACTCTTTTACAACACAGAGCACACTATTAGTGCTTAAATAATCATCTTAGCTGATAAAAGGCCACCAAAGTTTGGAATATGGCCTTCCTGTACTTATGCTAGTGTTAGCAGCAGGTGCTGGGGACCCAGTACTCCTTTCTGGAGCAGCAGGAAGGGCAGTTCCAGGTGTATCACCCCCAGGCCTCCATAAGCTATCTTGCCTTGTAGCATCAGGATAGTGCCTGGACCCTCCTTTTGGGCCACCACAGAGTAACAGAGACAGGAGCTGACATGGTTAACAGCATTTCATCAGAGTTGGCTTGCCTGATTTTTGCGTTTGGCAGGATGGTTAGAGAACTGGAGGCCCAGCTGGAATACGAGCGTGTCCGTCGAGAGAAGCTGGAGCGTCAGCTAGATGAATACCGAGCAGAGACAAGCCACCTTAAAGAGTGTCTGGAGAAACTGCAGCTCACACCCACCATCTCAGGGATGAGTGTCTGCCCTCAGGTGACTGCTTTGGGGAACGTGTGAAAAACAACATGAAAAGGTATAAGGTTCATTAGCAACATATAGCTCCGTTGCTGCAAAGACACCAGCAGCATCTGTTGTGTCCACCTGGGTCAGCATCTCCGAAGAGCAAAGAGGATGCTCAGACAGAAAGGATTGCTCTTCCTTACAGCCACCACTTGTAGCCGGACAGGTGCACAGCTGACTTCCTTGATGTTAGTATTGGCCATAGGCCTGGACCCAACCCCCTAGATATGAACAACATTGAACTCTGGTACATGATAATTGCCCCACAGGCTGCTTCAGAAAATGCGGGGAAAAAAGCGAACTCCCCTCGTCCCCAACAACAACAGACAATTATGTAGGAGCCCTGGCATATAGCACAGAATCCACCCCTTGCGACAGAACTCTTGTCCACAGTCCTTGCTTTCTGCCCCCTTTCCCCCATAGTTTCTAGCCCTGCAGGCAAAGAAAACCTTTCCCACAAAAACAGAGTTATAAATCTTTGCGGTTTTGTATTCTGGAGCACATAGACAGCCTGCCACACCAGCTAAGTCAGGTGTGAACTGCTTCAATGTCTTAACTCTGAAGCCAGTGGTGGCAATTTAAATTTCAACATTAACTATTTCAGTAGTGGTTAGTGTAACAGAAAAACAAAGATAATGTGTTTACTGCATAATCCCAAATCTGTCTTCTCAGGTAGCCAAAGCCCCAGCACTCCCCATTCAGGCAGCTTAAAGCTCCAGCTTCCTCCCACCAACTATAGAGGAGTTCGCAAAAAGAAAAGGAGTACTTGTGGCACCTTAGAGACTAACCAATTTATCTGAGCATAAGCTTTCGTGAGCTACAGCTCACTTCATCGGATGCATACTGTGGAAAGTGTAGAAGATCTTTTTATACACACAAAGCATGAAAAAATACCTCCCCTCACCCCACTCTCCTGCTGGTAATAGGAGAGTGGGGTGGGAGGAGATATTTTTTCATGCTTTGTGTGTATATAAAAAGATCTTCTACACTTTCCACAGTATGCATCCGATGAAGTGAGCTGTAGCTCACGAAAGTTTATGCTCAAATAAATTGGTTAGTCTCTAAGGTGCCACAAGTACTCCTTTTCTTTTTGCGAATACAGACTAACACGGCTGTTACTCTAAAACCTGTCATTATAGAGGAGTTATGCATTTTCAATACAACATTCTGCAAAGCAATGAGAACTGAAGGGTCAGGAATAGGGTAAACTAAATAGACCACAGCCACATTCCCAGCTGCCACCTCTCCTGTTTGCCTGCTAAGGAGGAATAAAGTACTCTCATCCCCAGGGACCGAAGGGCTAAGTACTACCCCTCTGTAGCTTCACTACTGTTTTGTGTGCACATATCCTTGCCTGAAACTTGCCAGCAGAGTTCCACATATATAAATGAACCCCTAGTTTAAATCTTCCACTGCCATCTGCTGGCCAGAAGCTAATATTACATCACAATTGCAGTTAGGAATATTCAGTTATTTTCTGTAAATCACATTTAATTCATTGGTGTCAGAGTAGCAACCGTGTTAGTCTGTATTCGCAAAAAGAAAAGGAGTACTTTTGGCACCTTAGAGACTAACCAATTTATTTGAGCATGAGCTTTCACTTCTATAATATTATTGGTATATTATAGCACCTAGGATTCTGAGGCATGGATCAGGACCCCATGGTGCTAGGTGCTGCACAGACACAGAACAAAAGACAGTCCCTGCCCCAAAGAGCCTATAATCTATCTATAAGAAAGAGACAACAACAGGGGGACACAGACAGATGGGGGAATCACACGGAAACAATGAGACAGTTTTTCTCCGCATGATAGCTAGTGGTCTCAACTCACCAGCACCCCAATCTTTGTCAAGCGTCAATACGCAATTTCATGCTGGTGCCTGATTAACAGCATCAGAGACAGAGTTCTTCATTTACCCACAAGGCAGCTATTGCACAGACTGCAGCAGCAGAAGCTTTCCCACAGTGCTCTGTCCCAGGCCTCAGCCCTAACTTGGAGCTGCCCACTGTTTCTTGTGGTGAGACGTTAGCTCAGTCTCCATGGGTCTCTGTCTATGGCCTCTGGTGAGACTGGCAGCAAGACTGGGCAATTAAAAAGGAGTGGGTTTTATGTGGAAATGCCACTCATGTCATAGCCACTGAGGGCTATAAAATTGCTCCATGTCTGTGCCCAACCCTAATCTCTGTCTCCTTCAATCTCACGATGCCACAGGCCCCATTCATAACTGCATTCAGCCAACTGCATAACCTGCAATCATAACTGTCCCATTTCTCACTAACCCCCAGGCTTTCTATCTCATAGCTAATCCCACATCTATTCAACTAGCTTCTCTCAACACTACTCTCTTTATGAGTGCTTCTACTCCCCTCACGCCCTCCCCCCGTCTCCTGCTTCATGGCTGCTTCCCCCCTTCTCTCCCTCACCCATGGCTGCTCCCACACAACTGCCCCTGACCTTTGCATCCCATCTAAGCTCCTCTCCTTGCCTGCTGCCCCCTCCCCACAGTGCTGCTGAAAAGACATCACTTTCTGCTTCCGTGACCCAACCCCAGGGCATTGGCTAGGACATCAGCTCACCAGGGAGTTTTGGAAAACCTGGGGCTACTCTAGCAGCGGCATCAGTCCATTTCACTCAATACAGCTACATGAGGGGTATATTTTACTCCCTTATATCAGTTCTCTGAAAGGGCACAATTGGGCTGCAGTTTAACAGTGGTAGCCACTTCAATAGCTTCTCAGACAGGGGAGCGGAAACTTCTTTCACTGAGGCAGATTCATTTTCAAATCCACCTCTGCATCAGGCAGAGGGGTCCTTTCTGGTTTCACACTGCTATGCTCCACAAGAGGACTCTGCCACCTCTAACCCACATCAGAGGTGAGCGATTGAGCTTTCATCTTTGGAATTTCCCATCTCCTCCTGCTTGGCTTCAGAATTAAAACCAACGTAGATGGCAATGGAGACAATCCCAAGTACTGCAGTAAACCAGGGCAGCATTGCTAGCATCTTGTCCGACCCCGTAAATGTCGGCATGCTGTACCTTGACTAAAGTACCACATTTGTATTCTTTGTATTATCCATAGCCTCATGAATCAAAATGTCACAATGCTACCTGTGAAATCGATATTCTTGCTATTATTTCATTTTGATATACACCTGACTCAACTTTCAGGGGTATTTCCGGCTCCACTAACATTGAGGGATTGGGTGCTTGCGCTGGTTTAATAGAGACTGCTTAAGGCCCCAGTTCTCTTTCAGTCTCTGGGATACGCAGAGTTAATGCAATCTCTGAGTGCCACACAAACCTCCCTGTTGTCCCCACTCAGCAATTGACCTTCTCACTTAAAAGATGCACAAAAAAAAAGAAAGCAGGTAATTTTTCAGAAAGTTCCCAAACGTCTACAGTATTTTAAGTGCATCTAATGAAAAGAACAAGCTTGGGTTTGAAATTGAGACTTGGTTGTTAACAACAAACACCAAAGTATTAATGACTGTTCAGAAAAAAGTGTTATATCTGTGGCACTTACAGAATACTCTGCAAGCTTCTTGGTGCCCTGCGGACAGCACTGAACCACACCACAGCTGAAATAAAAGTTCTGTTCAGTTTGCACCACTACACTTTTTCAAGTCTTCACCCCTCTCTTAAAACAAATGACAGGAGCATGAAGCTGAACATCTGTGAGCTGTAGATGTATCTATCCTAGAAAGGGAGTGTTGTCTAATAGGGAGGTGGCACCTCCATCTGCTTCATGCCTCACCTTAGGCAAATAGTGGGGGGGCAGGCAGATCAGATCAGCTAGTTAGGGGTGAAGACATTGCTGGCAGGGGTGGTAAGGGTGGCTGGAGGGGAAGAAGGAAAGAAAAGTGAGATATAAGAAAACGGTCATTCCAGTGGCTTGTTTTCCAAACTACAGGCTCAATAACTGAGTGTTAGAATAAGCCATGATCCTGGCTATTACTATATATCTTATCCTGTAAGACAGCATTTTGTGACTGTTCAAAGGAGTTTATGTGGTTTAAAATCCTCCCTTGCTAAGGAAGCAGGTGTAGATGAGTGACTGAAGTTTAATGGCTTTTATATTCTCTTTTTAGGAAGGCGAGGCTGCCTCTAATTTAGGCAAAGAGAAAAAGAAAATGAAGAAAAAGCCACCAGGCAGCCCCGGCGGAGTGTTTGTAAGACGATACTGAGGTGCGAATTGAGAGTTGCTGTTTTGTATCCATCTTGTCAGACTGACAGAGTTAGAGAAGGGTGTTCACACAGGAAATGCAACGCTAAGAGTGACAGGACAGGGCCACATCAGACAATATTGCCATGAGCTAAACTCATGCCAAACAAGGGTTAACTTTCAGAGAGGTATCTATGTAAGTCACATTTTGATATTTCACAGGAGGGAGTGGAAATGTTATGTAATAGCACTACCTTGACACTTGTAGAAGACAACCCTCAAGGTACTACAGAAGTGTGCATATAGTATATTTACAGCTTAATGCTGTACATCACGTATGGTTTCCGATCTTTGTGGTTTTAACTAGCTATGTACCAGTTTCTTTGCTTAAAGATAAATCTTATTGTGGAAAGAGACACTGTTTTCTGCAATGGTGATTTTTCCCCCCCCCTTTTTATACTGGCACAGGGTAGTGACTAATTAGCAAATCATAGAGGGTAAAATTTTCAAGAGCACTTAATTTTTCAGAAGTGAGCTAGGCTCCTAAGGCCCCTGGACTTTCAATGAAAATTAGGAGCTTTTGAAAATTTTATCCATAATAAGTGGTTTTCATCATATACTCAGAAGAGATAAATGCGTTAAGTACTTCTGCAGAGACTTGCTCTAACTGAACCTCCAGACCAAGTATTCTTGTTTATCCAAACTCTTCCATGTCTTTCACTAAGACATGGACATTGACATCTTTCATATGTCACTTATATGAAAAAGTAATTCAAATGACAGAAGGAAAAGAGACAGGGCAACTTATGGGGCAACTATATAATGACCGTATATACACCCTACAAATACCTGCTTGTGTAAATAATCCAGCTGTGCCAACTCCTCACGTGGTCATCACTTAACAGCAAACTCCCTTACGCTGATTTCATGCTTAAGGAATACATTTTCAGTTAAAGGGGACAAAGGAGTTGAGTTTTACTATCCAGACCCCTGAGACACACTCAGGACCAAATTACAGTTGTGTAAAAAACATTGATACCAACAAGAAGTAGAAGAATTTGGCCCTTGGTCGTGACTGTGCTGCATTTGCAATACTTTATAATCCAAAGCATCACATAAAGTAGTTATACTTCTGAATAAATTAAAACATTCATAGAACAATCCTGACTTTTGGCTGATCTGTACAGAGGTATTAAATATAAGCTCAGATTTCACACTACAAATGAATTAAATGTAGCAGGGATATGCTCAGAGGTTCTTCCTCTCAATCTCTTGTGAAAATCCTGCGATCAAACTGAAGGGAAAGTTAGGGTGATTTCTCTGCATTTGAGGGAGTTCCCTTTTCTGACTCATCACCCCAGGCTGACGGTATTTTTCCTCAGAGGTCATCAAAATACTTTCAGAGAGAAAAATCTTTTGCCCTTTGAACACATTATATTACATCAAAGGGCAGGTATTTTCCAAAATATTTTCTGCAGTCCTCCCACAACTCTACAACCCCCTAACCCAAACTTAGTATAAGAACCCAAAAACTGGACACTATTACCAATATACTTAGAATAGTTTTCAGGAACAAATATAAAGAAATCACACACACACAAACTTCCAGCAAATGCATTTAATACAGCGGTGTTGCCTCCTCCCATGGTTAGTTAGGAGAAATCAGCTTTGTTTGAATGGGAAAACAAACGTATGGGCTCCCAGTGCCTAATGGCCGAGGATATACTTGCCCTGGATGCAAGGTTCATCACAGGCTAAGGGGAAGTTTTGGGGAGAGGCCCTTGTAGCACATAGCAGCAGCAGGTCAGGAAGATGCAACATAAAACATAGGCTCCAAGCATACGACTAGCTGCCCAATGACTCACATTGACGTCAACACTTTGCTGGAATGGCCATTTATTTTGCAAAAGTAGGATGAGCAGTGGAGAAAGACCTTTTAAATTTAACTCAAGCCCTCCATATACAAAGATACTGCAGAATCAAGAAAGAAAGAAGCCAAGAAAACACAACTCTGAAAGCTGAGGGAAGCTGGTGAATAAAATAAAAAGTTCTATGACTGAAAACATACAATAATCAGACAGAAAATTCCGAACAACTCATGCTCCCTAGATCCCAATTTACTCCTGCAGCCATTAAGCCTAAGCCTACCATCAAGCTGTTCTCAAAACTTACATTGGTTTTAATGAGCCTGCTGCACATGCAAATGAGACACATTCCATTCAACAAAACACATACTTCCACAGTAGAAATTTACTCAATTCCATGCAATTAGGGAAGACTAAAATGATTACGAAGGGGGAACAAAGAATAAAAGTGTTGCCTTTCACGTGAGAAACAGTCACGTAATGGGGAGGGATATTTAAGGAACAGGAGGTGATGATTCCTCTATTTTGAGGATTCTTTGGGTAATAAAGATTATAGGTCAATTTCAGAGGAGAATCTAACTTGGAGTAACTTGCCCTTTCTTCCAGATGCCTTAAATTCAGATTCCTTTATGCCCAATTCAGACATGTAACTATCCTTCCTTACAGTGTCAGTTTGGCAGATACCAAATCTTAAAACTGATTAGCCATTACTGAGGAGCAGGTAATGACAGGGGGAAATGCAACTCCTGGGTTCTACCTATTGAGAGCAAATGAATCATGATCTGTGGAAGAGAACTGCAGATGTGATTACCAGTCATTTTTGGTGTCAAATATTTGTGTAGTATTCATCACTGCAAAGAGCCCTTTGTGGATCAGTTAGAAGTGGATGCTGCAAACGGAAATGGTTGAGGTACACTGGAAGATGAATAAATAGGGGTCTACCAAATTCACAGCCATGAAAATCAAGTCATGTACCATGAAAATCTGGTCTCTGGCTGCCCAGTCTGAAGGGAGAGTGGAGAGCAGTGGCTGCTGGCCGGGCACCCAGCTCTGAAGGCAGTGCCGCCACCAGGAGCGGCAGCACAGAAGTAAGGCTGGCAATGCCATGTCACCCTTATTTCTCTGCTGCTGGTGGTGGGGGAGCTGCCTTCAGAACTGGGCACCCAGCCAGTAGCTGCCACTCTCCTGCCGCCCAGCATCAGGCGGCACGGCTGCTGGAGTAAGGGTGACAGTACCATAAGCCCCCTACAACAGGCCTGCAACCCTCTTTTGGGTTGGGGCCCCCAGTTTGAGAAACGCTGTGGAGAAATCCGCTGTAGGTTGGTCACCGCATAAACATCTGCGAATTTGCTATTTGTGCCATGACCAACCTGCAAAAAATGTGTGATTGTTCTGTGATTTAAGTAGACCCTTAACTATAAATATGGTGTTTAGAATAGGCTCAAGTGATTCTCTAAAACCTTTACTTGTAACACACCTAAATCTATCATACAAAGGGATGAAAAAATGATTAATTCTCTAGGTACAGAGCACATACAAGGAAAATACATAAATAGAGTACAGGTTTCAGAGTAGCAGCCGTGTTAGTCTGTAACCGCAAAAAGAAAATTTAATTGGGGATTGGTCCTGCTTTGAGCAGGGGGTTGGACTAGATGACCTCCTGAGGTCCCTTCCAACCCTGATATTCTATGATTCTATGAAAAGGAGGACTTGTGGCACCTTAGAGAGTAACCAATTTATTTGAGCATAAGCTTTTGTGAGCTAGAGCTCACTTCATCAGATGCATTCAGTGGAAAATACAGTGGGGAGATTTATATATCACATATATAAATGGGTGTTACCATACACACTGTAAGGAGAGTGATCAGGTAAGGTGAGCTATTACCAGCAGGAGAGCGGGGGGGGGGGGGGGGAAACCTTTTGTAGTGATAATCAAGGTGGGCCATTTCCAGCAGTTGACAAGAACATCTGAGGAACAGTGGGGAGAGGGGGGCGGGGAATAAACATGGGGAAATATAGTTTTACTTTGTGTAATGACCCATCCACTCCCAGTCTCTATTCAAGCCTAAGTTAATTGTATCCAGTTTGCAAATTAATTCCAATTCAGCAGTCTCTCAGTCTGTTTTTGAAGTTTTTTTGTTGAAGAATTGCGACTTTTTGGTCTGTAATCGAGTGACCAAAGAGATTGAAGTGTTCTCCGACTGGTTTTTGAATGTTATAATTCTTGACATCTGATTTGTGTCCATTTATTCTTTTATGTAGAGACCGTCCAGTTTGGCCAATGTAGGCAGAGGGGCATTGCTGGCACATGATGGCATATATCACATTGGTAGACCTATTCATGATGACGACAGCACCTCCTTTGTCAGCCTTTTTGATTATGATGTCAGAGTTGTTTCTGAAGCTGTGGAAGGCACTGTGTTCTGCACGGCTGAGGTTATGGGGCAAGGGATGCTGCTTTTCCACAATTTCAGCCCGTGCACATTGGCGGAAACACTCTATGCAGAAGTCCAGTCTGTTGTTTCGACCTTCAGGAGGAATCCACCCAGAATCCTTCTTTTTGTAGTCTTGGTAGGAAGGTCTCTGTGGGTTAGTATGTTGTTCAGAGGTGTGTTGGAAATATTCCTTGAGTTGGAGACATTGAAAATAGGATTCTAGGTCACCACAGAACTGTATACAAATAGAGTAGCATCAGCTCTAAGGAGAATAACTATTCTTACTGTAAGATGTTATCTCAGTTTTACAAATTGGTAAATTGTACTCCATGTTCTTGGACAGCAATGTAACTATTACGCTACAAGGGAGTGTTTAAATACATAATTTCATACACAGAATATAAAATTCACAGGACACTAGCAAATTCGATTTGTAAACAGTAAACCAGAGTCACCTGAAAATGCCTCTATACAGTACTGTATACAAAACCTCTCTCCCCTGTACAGAGACTACTCAGAGTTAAAATTTACTCAATAGGAACAGTTACCTGTAAAGAATGGAACTAAGCATTGGCACTGTTGTTGGATCATATTAAAGAAGTTCTGTATTAAAATCACAAATGAGTTTGATTCCCCATAGTTTCAATTCCAGGGTATTACTAATTAAGAGGTCTCTTGGTTTTTGGTACTGTTTCTCTCCCTCTATGTGTGAAACTTGCAAGCTGCTAATTGCGTTAGTATATTCTAAGACAGAGTCTGTTCTCAAAGCAATTCACACAGAGAGAGACTCAAAGCAATACTCTGTAACAACAGAAACAGCACCCAGAGACTCCCTGCCCTTTTGTTGTATGGTGATTAAAATAGAGATAGAGGATGTATGTGGATGGATGCTTGGTATGGATAATAACTGAATGATCAGGGAGGTGCCAGCCTAAGAATCCAGTGTCCATTGGTTGAAGAAGGCGTCAAGTGGAAATAACCAGAGGACCCCCCGGACTGGAATCCACCCAACAGCCTCAAGAATGGGAGAACCAAAGAACAAGATAACATCTTGGAGCCGTCAGGAATGTGCTATCTGCTGATTGATTCAGCAACAGCATGATGAAGCAATTCCCATAGACTGGCATAGGAAGAAATTCCTATAAAAATAGACTCTAAAAAGTGAGAACTTTGGGGTCTGATTCTGCAAACCAACTTCCAGGAGCATCAGATGAGCAACTGACAAGGCCCTGCTCCCTCTTCGTGTCCAGGCCACCTGGCCAGTGGCTTGGCATGAGCAACTCTAAGGCTGGTAACTATGATAACTACCTTGCAGAACGGACACGTGTGTGTGTGTGAATGAATATGAGATTGAATGGAATGTTATAGCTATAACTAATTGCTTACTAGGATTCTTTCTGTATTCACAATAAATGTGGTATTTTGCCTTTTTCCCTTTAATAAGTTCCTGCTGGTTTTTATTTTATTGGTATAACATTTTGGTGGAGAAATGCGAAAGGGGGAATATTGGTAAAAAACCTCAGTTATTGTAAATATTGGTGTGCACACCGCCAGCTCTAGTGAGCTAGGCATTTCTATTAGGTTAACCAGACCTGCTGGCCTCTGAGAAGGTAGCAGGTGACCTGCTGGCCTCCGAGAAGGTAGCAGGGAAAACAGATTAAACCAGACCTGCTGGCCTCTGAGAAGGTAGCAGGTGACCTGCTGGCCTCCGAGAAGGTAGCAGGGAAAACAGATTAAACTAGACTTGCTGGCCTCCGGGAAGGTAGCAGGGGACCTGCTGGCGTCCGAGAAAGTAGCAGAGAAGAACAGGTTAACCGGACCTGCTGGCCTCCGGGAAGGTAGCAGGGGACCTGCTGGCGTCCAAAAAAGTAGCAGAGAAGAACAGGTTAACCGGACCTGCTGGCCTCCGGGAAGGTAGCAGGGGACCTGCTGGCCTCCGGGAAGGTAGCAGGGGACCTGCTGGCCTCCGGGAAGGTAGCAGGGGAAAAACGCATAGATTAAGCTATGATTTCAGAATCTAGGCTGTGTCACTTGCTAAGTAATACCAGCAGTGACAAAGAGATTGAAATATCCATGTTAAGATGTTTAAAAGAAAACAGGGTGAGCCAATACCAGAGGGAGCAATGGAATCAGAAGGAACTCCAACCTCACCTTTTGTTAAAGAAATTACACCTTTTAAACAAATCCTTCAAAAATTTGGGCACAGTCCTTGGACTAAACAAGCCCTAGCTGATGTCTGCACTATTTCGGACCTAGAGGATAGATTGGCTCAGTATACCCTCATATACAAACCTTCTAGTGCTGCCAAAAGAGATGCAGCAGCAATTTGGTTGTTGTGGGAGGCATGTAAGGATTCTTCCCTCCGCTTGTCTTCATGTAAAGAGGAAAAGGCACAAACGGAAAAGGGAGCAGACAATTGGAAGGTGCTGGCTACAAATACCCAAAGCTAGCTGAAAATAGTGAAAGAGGCACTCCAGGAATACAAAAAGAGTGAAAAAGTTAACTCTGCAGAGGCTGGAGGGAGGCAGGTAAAGGGGGAGAAGGTCCTATGTACGGCACCCCCAGGCATAATTACAAAGAGAAAAGAGAGTAAAAAAAAAAGTTAACTCTGCAGAGGCTGGAGGGAATTAAGCAGTTAAACTTTGTATTTCACCCAAACAACTTTTAACCGAAAATGTTAAAAAGGAAAAGTGTTAGAGAAAGAGCATTCTTGGTTTCTTTGCAGCCATTCTGAAAGAAAAATGGGCCCTTTTCCAAAGGAATGTCTGTAAATTAGCCAGGCAAAAATAAACTTAAAATCATTTGACTGGACAATTTAGTCAAATTTGCTAAAAGAACATAAGAGGGTTCTATTGGAACTTAACTGCCTCAAATGTATAAAGGGAATGTAAGATGTAAAAAACAGAGCAGTGTGGAAGGGATGTTAAGGAAAAGAAAATGTGTATGTATCTGTCTGTGTGTGTGTAAATATGTAAAGTTCTAAGGACCAGTTAGTTTTGTTTTTGTTTTAAATAATGCCACTAAAAATCCATTTGACTCTTTAATTCAAAGTTGCAAAACTGACAGACCTTTTTGCTAGACACAGGTAATTAGTGTTGTTTGGCTTTGGGATTTGGCATTTAACCCTTAAAAGGTAACTCAATGTTTTACAAAATTTAAAATGTTTTTAAGTTGTGGCTGCAGCAGGGCAGTCAATCAGGAGAATATAAAAAAAAAAAATTTTGGATTCTTTTTGTTTGTTTGTTTTTTGTTTGTTTTTGTAACAAAATAGCAGATGAGAGTTGTAGTAAAAAAAATAATAAAAAAAAGACAGTGCCTCTCTGAAGCAACAGCAGGGGTGAGGTGCACAAAACAAAAAGAAGCAATGTTAGAAACACTGAGTCTTAAAATGGCTCTGAGTAATCAGACTGTCACTTTGATAAAGGTATATGAAAACTCTGTAAGCAAAAAAAGAAATAGTGACACCTTATGTAAAAATGGATCTGGATAATGTTATAGAAGTTAAACTATGGAAGGAATGTGCATTTGCCTCAGAACATGTGCAGGGTATATTATAGAAGGGGCAAAAGAAATGCAAACATACCATGCTACTTAATTAAAATGCTATTAGGGCTCCAAAGGGAGCCACAATAGGTTGGGTTTTCTTTTTCAGATTGCTGTGTGTTTTGGAAGCAGAAGTTAAAAGTAATCAAAACTCTGGTGAAAGTTGATTGTGTCCCTTTTAAGATAGAGTCTCTGAGCTGCTGATGGCTTTAAATCCAAAAGCAGGAAGTTTCTGTGAAAATGCAAATTACCTAAATGATAAAGGAAGGAAAGAACTAGCAGCACAAAGGAGCTGCAGATAAAGGACATACCTGGTCAGCAAACAAATTGTCTAAATAAAAGGCATGGGATAACAAGATAATTTTAATAAATTTAATGATAAGTATCCCTGTAACAACGTATAGTGTGTATGATTTTTGGAAAAATCCTTTAAGGTCGTATGGTAATGATGCTTCTCAGTTATTACCTGTAAATAAAACTTAAAGCTTAACACAGCAGGAAAAACATTATAAACTTGGTCTGCTGTATAAGAAGGAAAACTCAGGGATTTAATGACTAAACAGTGGGATAATTTCCCCATAACCCTTAAAAAATAAAAGCCATTGAAACCTGGCCTGCCTATAGAACAAAAACAGGAAAATGTGGGGGCAATTCCTCTGTTTTGCCTGCAATCAGCAAGAGTATTTGTAAAAGAAATATTTTAAGCAATAATCTGCCACCCCAAAAGGGGTAGAAACATGTTCTTTTTGTCTTTCAGAAAATCAGGAAAAGCTGATGCCAGCTGAAAAGCAACCCAATACCATGAATCTACTGTCACAATAGAAATTGTGTTCTGTGTTCTATGTTTTGTCTTGTGTTTTGTTTTGTTGCTAGCACTGTTGTGTGTTTAAAAAAAAAAATACCGAAGACCTGCAGGAACTTAAAAATAAATTAAGCTTTCTGTCCCAGCTACAGGACAGCCTGATACAAAAACAAGTACATGCCAATGTAGACTTGGTCCAAATTGGTCTGCGTAACCTAAAAGGCTGATGGAATCTTTAGTAATGGCTTAATACTACCACATGGCTTACCCATAAGAAAAAAAAAATATTAGAAATACGAAACTACACAGCCATAGCTATGGGATGCACTGAAATGCAGATACTTGCACTAGCTACTTTGGAACACAAAATGTTCTGGGTTATATTGGGAAATATTAAGGGTTTGATGCATTTGTTAAAAAAGAAAGAGATCATTGTTTGACACTTATCAATATGAATGGATGCAATATGTTTCCAGTATTGTAAACCAGACTTGTTAATGGGAGAAACTGTTGTCAAAATTGCACACCAACAATCCCTGGAGGCAAAGGTATTGAAGGTTAACCCACTCCTCATATTACACATGGGATCCTTCTGGCTACCCTGGACCTTGAGCCAGTGGGCTGGGGAGGGAGGGAAGCTATTGGACACTAGAGGTTGTACCGAATGGACTCCTCAAAAGTGGGTGTGCCTCACCTTGCCTGTTGCCCCAGAACCTTATAGTAAAGATACATCACTAGGATCATGTATGTGGCATGAATTGGAATCACAAACTCAAATTGCCTCACAGTACTTTCTCTTGAATAGGCTACATAGAAAGTGACACTGACGATTATAAATCTTAGTGTCAAAAGGGGGATTATGTTGGATCACATTAAAGAAGTTCTGTATTAAAAATCACAAATGAGTTTGATTCCCCATAGTTTCAATTCCAGGGTATTACTAATTAAGAGGTCTCTTGGTTTTTGGTACTGTTTCTCTCTCTCTCTGTGTGTGAAACTTGCAAGCTGCTAATTGTGTTAGTACATTCTAAGACAGAGTCTGTTCTCAAAGCAATTCACACAGAGAGAGACTCAAAGCAATACTCTAACAACAGAAACAGCACCCAGAGACTCCCCACCCTTTTGCTGTATTAACAATTGTGATTAAAATAGAGATAGAGGATGTATGTGGATGGATGCTTGGTGTGGATAATAACTGAATGATCAGGGAGGTGCCAGCCTAAGAATCCAGTGTCCATCGGCTGAAGAAGGCGTCAAGTGGAAATAACCAGAGGACCCCCCGGAGGGCAGACTGGAATCCACCCAACAGCCTCAAGAATGGGAGAACCAAAGAACAAGATAACATCTTGGAGCCGTCAGGAATGCGCTATCTGCTGATTGATTCAGCAACAGCATGATGAAGCAATTCCCATAGACTGGCATAGGAAGAAATTCCTATAAAAATAGACTCTAAAAAGTGAGAACTTTGGGGTCTGATTCTGCAAACCAACTTCCAGGAGCATCAGATGAGCATCTGACAAGGCCCTGCTCCCTCTTCATGTCCAGGCCACCTGGCCAGTGACTTGGCATGAGCAACTCTAAGGCTGGTAACTATGATAACAACCTTGCAGAACGTACGTACGTACGTGTGTGTGTGTGGAATGTTATAGCTATAACTATCTGCTTACTAGGATTCTTTCTGTATTCACAATAAATGTGGTATTTTGCCTTTTTCCCTTTAATAAGATCCTGCTGGTTTTTATTTTATTGGTATAACACTGTTACTTAATTACACTTGTGGTGAAAAATAATCTCCTGCGACAAGGACTTAACTAAAATACGATTGGTTGCTTAAACGTTGCAAAAATATCCTCCCATCCTGTCATGTCTTAATGTTGAAATTTATCAGCCATTGGCAGAAGGTAAAGAGATCAAGATTTAAGTTTGGTTTAGAACAGTCAATGGGACCAATTTATTTCCCAAGGACTATGGTGCTCACCCGCTTTCAAGAGGGATCTGGAGGCAGGAGCATCAGCAGTTTCATGAAAGAAATGTAAGATTTCCACATTTCAAGCCAGATTCTGCTTTCAGGTAAAGGATATGGACCATATAGGCGAGTTCTGTATCTCCAGCAACAGAAAGGAGTCAAAAGCCAACCTTTGTCTTGCTCAGGGAGTTATACACACACATTGCCAAATGTGACATTTCCCCTCAGACAAGGGAGTTAAAAAATCGTTTGGCTGTATGGGTGGAGGAAACTGTCAAAGAAGGGGTGAGCATTTTAGTTATTTTTAATAGTTAGTTAATTTTTAAGACTCAGCTTTATGCTGGGAAAGGGATCCTTTTGAAAAGGCTTTATTTTAACAATTTTATAAAGGTGGGGGACACATCTCATTTAAGCCTTTTGACAAGGCTTTATTTTAACAATTTTATAAAGGTGGGGGACACATCTCACCCGGCAGGGGAGAGGAGAATCGGGATGGAACGTAAACTTGCAGCTCCAGTAGTTTAAGATGCACAGAAGTCTCAGAGTAGGATAGCTCCTTGCATTTGGTCACATCAGATGGTAAACACTTTCCTTTGGCGGGGACGTGAGAGTGGGATAAATGTTAATGAGAACAGAACCTTTCCAAAATCAATCATAGGACATGTTCTTTGATTCTTATGCCAAAAAACATTCTGATTTTATATAAACACAGATTCAATGTTTCTTCTGTATGAGGTTTTTGAAAAAAGGGCCACTAAAGAATCAATTAGAAGTTAAGGAAAGGTTCCTATTATTGCCCCTAACTATTTTGACCTTTATTATTACAGAGAATATTTTTTAGTACACATTATCAATACAAGAACAAAGGCACTACGAATACCCGCAGTAGCGAACACAGTATGACCAAACAGATGTTCCATGATGTCAGTGGCCTTTTCTTCTTCTATCTGTAGTGCAGTAGTTCCACTGGGTCTATTTCCAAAACCTATAAAATCCCAGTGCTATTGCTAGGCAAGTGAAAACAGAAGCTGTAAAAAGAAAGGAAATAATTAATATAACACTCAATATCGCCTTGTGTTACATGCAAGGAATTCATTTTTGCCACAGACAGAAGGTTGTATAGAACTCTAGATGATACGAGACAATCTAAAACAGATTTTATTTTAAAAAAGTGCTTCTCTCTAAGTTTCAACCCTTTCTGTACAGAAACTATTTTAAGGGTTGGGGCAGTTATGACACGTTTTCAGTACACAAATCAAAAAGATGTTTAAACTAAGAGAGAACTCAGTTGACAATACACATAACTGGTACAATGTCGGGGTAGCTAAGAGCAGAGTGTGTGAAATCTCAGCAACTGTCCTTCTATACTTATTGAACCAGCAGTTTAGCAAAGGTTAAGAGGGGGTTAACCAGGTTCAGTTCTTATTGTTGGACTTGCTTTCTCAATTCCACAATTGTTTGGTTACTTCCCTTTCACCCACCTCCAATTCTGTGTAATTTTTACTGTCTACAGGTAGACTGGGAAATGAATCTCATCTGAGCTCAATTTGTTTTCTTTAAAGCTTACATAAATTACCAAATTTGAAAGCATGTTTCTTTGAAAACTTGACTGGGAAGTTTACTGCTACTTGTAGTTAAGGTACATTGATCAAGGTCGAGATCTCCCTACAGATCAGTAAGTGCATGCAACAGAAGTCATAAGCTTTTAAGACTTTTTTGAGCAAGCCACCTCAAACTACCACCACATCAGACCATATGGATATGTGAATATACCACTTCACTCCCTATAGACTAGCTTTAAGCCCCAGAACAATTCTTTGGTGGCTGAGGGGGCCCAGGATGGTTTTCACTGGGGCATCTCTGCAGCAGGGGCTTGCTGACTGCAGCAAGGATGAATGTCATGGGAAGCAGTTTTTATATCCTGTACTCATGTCCTTCTATCCCAATTTTGGGCCCAATCGTGATCCCACCGAAGTCCCTCTCAAGTTTTCTGCCTACCCATGGTCTTATGTCAAATAATCCTTTTATAAATTATGATAAAAGCTAAACAAGAGATGTTCACTAGCAGAACAAATGACCTCTTGACCTCCTTTTGCTTCAATATTTCCCATCATTTACTTGATCCCTTGCCACACCCAATTTGAGACTAAACTTTTCGGCCTAGAGACCATATCTTTAATTTGTCCTCTTGCAAGATACATCTACGGTCTTATTTTCATAATTATGTATATACACATGCTCATTTTGTTTGCTGCTCATGTTTTAATGTGAAAGAACTCAGGAACTATGACCAGGCTACCAAAGGAGCTTTCCAAGAACTGAGCTTCCTAAAATCTGCACTTTGAATCAAATTTTACATTTCTGAAACACACTACAGTATTAATGCCCCTCCCCACCAACATACCTGCCAAATAACGTATTGTCTCCAGTTTATTTGATTCCATGAGAGTTTTTAAGGAGGCTATTTGTGTATCAATTTTATTACTGATTTCTGCAATAGCACTGTTGGTATTTGAATCCTGAAATACATTACAAGACATGGCATATGTATGGGTCTCATCTCCTGCTCCTTCAACTTAAAAAAACAAAACAAAACAGACGGCAATGCTGTCAGCTATTCTACGTAAAGAGAAAACATCTATTAAAATGAAAAATCTCAAAACCCTTGTTGAATTAAGATGTGTAGCCTATAAGTGAGCTTACAAGATGAGCAGAGCAGTATGTAATGCAACTGAAGAGTGGTTTTCAAAGGGGAATAGCAAAGAAAAAGCTAAAATTGAGTTCAACATGATGTGTGTCAAATGCCCCAACTAATCTGTCTATGGGGAGCATTCAACATGGATGTATATTTTGATTAACTTTTAAAAAAATATTCCCCTCCCCTTCCATGAACTGCCTTATGAATTCAGACCCATGTTCCATTTTGTCTGCGTCCTGCCCCGACAACGGCCAGTAACAGATTCTTCAGAGAAAGGTACAAGAAACTCTACAGCTGACAGTTAAGAAATAATCTGTCCAAAAGGGGAAATTTCTTTCTAACCCCAGTCAGTTTGCAATTGGCTATGTCCAGAAGCTTGAGGGTTTATATTTTATGTTATACTGTCTACCTAGCAGTGACCTTGATTTAGCACATTACACCTCTTCTAACCTTCATTAAGGAGAGAGACCTGTTTCATCACTCAAACAGCATATTTAAGACCTTCCAAGAGCAGTTACTGGCTACAAAACATATACAACATGGCAGGAAGGGAAATAACAGCCAATTATTTTGTCTAGAGAGTTAAATTAATTAATTTCCATATATTTTACCATGGAAACATGGTACAGCAAGTTCTGTATCAGTTTAACTACAATGCTGACCATGTTTAAGCACCTAATTAAAGTGGCCTTATTTTCTCTGAAGTGTCAAGTACCCACAAATTCCATTAGAAATATGATGGAACAAGTGGGAAGTTAGATAGTACTGATGTGCAAGGCAAAAGAGTGAGGAGTCAAAGACCTGAGTGATATGGAGAAGGCTAGTGTTGTCAGCAGTTACAGAGAACTTAGAGAATGGGGAGGATTTGAGAGGAAAGGTCAGGAGCAGTTTTGGCTGTGTGAAGTTTGATGATCAGACACCTGGGAAACAACTATAAAAACAGGCTAAAGATGAAGGATTGGGTGAAGGGAGACAGGTCAGGAGTGGAGAGGCAGACCCGTGAGCCACCGGTGTAGCGATGGGAGGTGCAACCATGTCAGTGACTGAAGCATGAAGAGTGAGAAGGAGGGACGCCACGGACAGAACATCATAGAGAGCAGGTTTGAAAATTCTGACCAGGCGTAAAGGACCTAGGTTCCTGATGTTCTTTGAGAGTACAAGTCTTCATTAAAATAAATATAAACTGTATAGAGTTATTTGTGCTAGAAATGTTAATACAGAATACAGCTAAAATGCAAGAGCACAACCACCAGCATTAAAAAGTCATGCATAATGTTTTAAAGTTTTATGCAAACAGTTATTTCAAAGGAAGCAGATTAGATGCATTAGAACATGTTCCAGTTTGTGATATTCATACTTGTACACGTGTATATGAGTATTTTAATGCGTGCTTAAGAAACACAAGTTTAAGTCATGTGGTATCTTCCATTTCTTGTACACTCAAAATCCTGCTAACTCCAGTCAGAATTTTGGGTCCATGAAGGCAGGACTGGGTCCATAATATAAAATTGTCAATTATTATTACAGAACAGCGCTAACTCACTTTTTTATGAAACTCTGTAGTTGCTTCCATCAGATTCTTTTCCTGATCTGTGAACTACAGATTAAGAAGGGAGAAATTACAATCTCAGTAATGGAATATGGCAAACAATTGATAGAGACATCTTTTAAAAACAGCTTACCATATCTGTCACTCTGCTCCTTTCCAGATTTATGTCCAGCTTATTATCAGCTCTGATTTTACTAGTTTCATTCTTCAAAAGAAACAAAGATAAAATAAACTAATTACACACTTCCCTGAATATTAGACTCTATAGGTACTTGCTGTTTACCTACCATTAGCTGCTGTTTAACTTGATCCAACTCAATTTTCATTTTCTAGGTACAAAGGAAAAAAAAGACCATTTTACAGAAGTCGTAAGTGACTAACCATTTTAGCTGGATAGTCAGACCATTGCCATCACATATTTGTTACACTGACTGAAGTGGATCACTGAAAATTATGGTATTTCAGGAATAAATCTTTTCATGGATGGACCTGTCTGTCCCAGATTAGACATGTTAATAGTAGTCAAACTTCTAATATCAATTACGTCTGGTATCTAGAGCTATTTAAAATTTGGTTAAAACCAAGTGGGTGGATCAATGTCTATGGATAATGCACCTAAGCATCTTGTCATTCTGAATGTTGGCTCATATATCCTAAGAATAGTGGAAACACATCCATGAATATACAAAATACTCTCAGGAAAAGGAAAGTGAAGTAAAAATATGTAAACCCTGGTCTACACTATGAGGTTAGGTCGATTTAAAAATGAATGCATCTACACAACCAACCCCATTCCATTGACCTAAAGGGCTCTTAAAATTGACTTCTGTACTCCTCCCCAGCAAGGGGAGTAGTGCTAAAATCGACCTTGCTGGGTCGAATTTGGGGTAGTGCAGATGCAATTTGATGGTATTGGCCTCTGGGAGCTATCCCAGAGTGCTCCAATGTGACTGCTCTGGACAGCACTTTGAACTCCGATGCACTAGCAAAGTACACAGGAAAAGCCCTGGGAAATTTTGAATTTCATTTCCTGTTTGGTCAATGTGGCAAGCTCAGCCGCACAGATGACCATGCAGTCCCCCCAGAATCGCAAACGAGCTCCAGCATGGACCGAAAGGGAGACACTGGATCTGATTGCTGTACGGGGAAGAAGAATCTGTGCAGACCGAACTCCGATCAAAAAGAAGAAATGCTAATATATATGCCAAAATCGCAGAGGGCATGGTGGAGAGAGGCTACAACAGGGACACGCAGCAGTACCATGTGAAAGTTAAGGAGCTCAGGCAAGCCTCCCAAAAGACAAAGGAGGCAAACGGTTGCTCTGGGGCAGAGCCCCATACATGCCGCTTTTATGATCAGCTGCATGGCATTCTAGGGGGGACCCTACCACTACCCCACAACTGTCTGTGGATACCTGCAAGGGGGGGGGGGGGGGGGGAGTCTCACGCAACAGGGAGGAGGATTTTGTGGATGAGGAAGAGGAGGAGGAGAATGCGCAGCAGGCAAGCGGTGAATCCGTTCTCCCCGGCAGCAAGGAGCTTTTCATCGCCCTGGAGCCATTACCCTCCCAAGGCGGGATCCCCGATCCTGAAGCCGGAGGAGGAAGCTCTGGTGAGTGCACATTTGTAACTACAGTACAGGGTTTAAAAGCAATAGTGTTTAATGTTTGATTTGCCCTGAAGACTTGGGATGCATTCACAGCCAGTACAGCTACTGGAAAAGTCTGTTAACGTGTCTGGGGATGGAGCAGGAATTCTCAAGGGACATCTCCATGAAGCTCTCCTGGAGGAACTCTGAAAGCCTTTGCAGAAGGTTTCTGGGGAGGGCTGCCTTACTTCGTCCTCCACGGTAGGACACTTTACCACGACAAGCCAGTAGCAAATAGTTTGGAATCATTGCAGCACAAAGCATGGCAGCAAATGGTCCTGGGTTTTGGTCGCATTCAAGCAACATTCTGTCTTTATCTTTCTGTGTTAGCCTCAGGAGAGTGATGTCATTCATGGTCACCTGATTGAGATAGGGGAATTTTTGTAAGGGAACAGTAAAAGGACCCTGTTCATGCTGGGTTGTTTGCGCTTGGCTAAAGGGATCATCCCAGAGAATAGCCATGCGGTGGGGTGGGGAGAGGTGTGTGCTGCACATCCACCCGAAAACTGCAGCCCCTCCTTTTAAATGTGAAACCCAACTGCATTGCTTGCTATGGGAAAGGATGGCGCTGCAGTTTGAAACCATTCCCATGTTATGAAGGCGTAAGAAGCCAACCCCGCATACCAAAAGGCTTACCATGGCTGCCTGGAAACCGAATTCTGTTGCCCAGCCATGTGTGATGTGTAACCACACCAGCAGGCACTCAATATAAAAGGCAAAATGCGACCTCGTACCTAAAGCACATGTGCTGTCTGCTGTGAATTACTTGATCCACTGTGAAAGAGTCTCCCTTTTGTTCTCAGAAATGTATCATCTTAAATTTTACTCTCCCTTTTTATCTCCCCCCAGGTGCAAATGTTCCTATGCTCCCGCTATCATCTCCATCCCTGAGGTTATCGCAGATCAGAAGGCGAAAAAAATGCACTCGCAATGACATGTTTTCCGAGCTTGTGCAGTCCTCCCGCACTGATACGGCACAGCTTAATGCATGGAGACATTCAGTGGCAGAGGCCAGGAAAGCATTAAGTGAGCGCGAAGAGCAGAGGCAGGAGGCAATGCTGAGGCTAATGGGGGAGCAAACGAATTTGATGAAGCGTCTGTTGGAGCTGCAGGAAAGCCAACAGGAGTACAGACCCCCGCTGCATCCATTGTATAACTGCCTGCCCTCCTCCCCAAGTTCCATATCCTCCTCACCCAGACGCCCAAGAACGCAGGGAGGGAGGCTCTGGGCACCCAGCCACTCCACTCCAGAGGATGGCCCAAGCAACAGAAGGCTGTCATTCAAACAGTGTTGATTTGTAGCATGGCTACAATAAGCAATGTGGCCTTATCCTTCCCTCCTTCCTCACCCCACCCCACCCGGGCTACCTTGTCAGTTATCTCACTTTTTTTTTTTTATTAATAAAGAAAGAATACATGGTTTCAAAACAACAGTTACTTTATTTCCTTTGCCAGCTGTGATTGAAGGGGGGGAGGGTGGCTGGCTTACTGGGAATTAAAATCAACAAAGGGGGCGGGTCTGCATCAAGGAGAAACACACACAACTGTCACACCGTAGCCTGGCCAGCCATGAAACTGGTTTTCAAAGCCTCTCTGATGTGCAGCGCGCCCTGCTGTGCTCTTCTCAAAATGCTCAAATTCTTCTCTGCTCAAAATCAGCCACCTGGCAATTTGCCTCAACCTCCCATCCCGCCATAAACATCTCCCCCTTACTCTCTGATATTATGGAGCACACAGCAAGCAGCAATAACAATGGGAATGTTGGTTGCGCTGAGGTCTAACCTAGTCAGCAAACAGCACCAGTGAGCTTTTAAACGTCCAAAGGCACATTCTACCACCATTCTGCACTTGCTCAGCCTATAGTTGAACTGCTCCTTACTACTGTCCCGGCTGCCTGTGTATGGCTTCATGAGCCATGGGAGCAAGGGGTAGGCTGGGTCCCCAAGGATAACTATTGGCATTTCAACATCCCCAACGGTAATTTTCTGGTCTGGGAAGTAAGTCCCTTCTTGCAACTGCTCAAACAGCCTGGAGTTCCTAAAGATGCGAGCGTCATGCACCTTTCCCGGCCATCCCACGTTGATGCCAGTGAAACGTCCCTTGTGATCTACCAGTGCTTGCAGCACCTTGAGAAGTACCCCTTGCTGTTTACGTACTGGTTGGCAAGGTGGTCCGGTGCCAAAATAGGGATATGCGTTCCGTCTATTGCCACACCACAGTTAGGGAACCCCATTGCAGCAAAGCCATCCAGTATGACCTGCACGTTTCCCAGAGTCACTACCCTTGATAGCAGAACATCAGTGATTGCATTGGCTACTTGGATCACAGCAGTCCCCACAGTAGACTTGCCCAGTCCAAATTGATTCCCGACTGACTGGTAGCAATCTGGCATTGCAGGCTTCCACAGAGCTATGGTCACTCGCTTCTCAACTGTCAGGGCAGCTCTCATCTTGGTATTCCGGCGCTTTAGGGCAGGGGAAAGCAACTCAAAGTTCAAGGAAAGTGGCCATACGCATGCGAAAGTTTCGCAGCCACTGTGAATCATCCTACTTGCAACACTATGCGGTCCCACCAGTCTGTGCTTGTTTGCTGGGCCCAGAATTGGCATTCCACTGTATCAACCAGCCCCACTGCCACCATGATGTCCCAACTGCCACAGCCCATGCTTTCAGGAACATCTGTGTCCATGTCCTCCTCACAATCGTCCTCATGCTGGCGTCTCTTAGCCCGGTTCTGCACATATTCCAGAATAATGCGCGAGGTGTTTACAATGCTCATAACAGCAGTGGTGAGCTGAGTGGGCTCCATGCTTGCCATGGTATGGCATCTGCACGGGTATCCCAGGAAAAAAGGCGTGAAACGATTGTCTGCCGTTGCTTTCACAGAGGGAGGGGCGACTGACGACATGTACCCAAAACCACCCGTGATAATGTTTTTGCCACATCAGGCATTGGGAGCTTAACCCAGAATTCCAATGGGCAGCAGAGACTGCGGGAACTGTGAGACAGCTACCCACAGTGCACCACTCTGTAAGTCGATGCTAGCCACGGTATTGAGGACACACTCCGCCGACTTAATGCGCTTAGTGGGGACATACACAATCGACTGTCTAAAACTGATTTCTAAAAAGCGACTTCTATAAAATCGACCTAATTTCATGGTGTAGACATACCCTACGTCATAAAGTTTTGTTGAATTCTGTGTCTCAAAGAACTATACACTTTTCCAGCATTAAATAATGGTAATAGGCCTTAAAAGTACATTAGACCATTCAAGGATTTAAATATGGGTTTGTTTTCTTCTGGGGAAATTGTATGAATCTGTATCCCAAATTTATGTTTATATGATCACCAAACATGCCACTTACAAGGCAGAAAGAGTCACAGACAGATTGTTAATTTTTAAAGAACAAGAAAACTAAGCTTTCAGCACTGGTGAAAGTATCAGTGATTGCTTGTATCTAAACAGTTGGTTCCAAAAAGAATACTTCAACATATTTTGCAATTTATCTGTTCAGTTAGAAAGATTCAGTAGTACCTCATTCTCTGCTCTCAGGTTTGCAAATTCACTTTTCTCTAGGATGACCATATCTTTCCGAATAGAGTCTAAATGCGCCATTATCTGCTGCAGAGTTATTTCCTAGGAAATAATATAGTAATCACTCAGAACTGCTAAGAAATGCTAAGACCTTTTCAAGCATTGCATTGCAACAGGAAGAAAGAGACTTGCTTAGGTCACAGAAAGCAAAGTCTTGTTGTGCATGAAATCATTAACTGGTGACTGTCAGGCATAAAAAAAAAACGTCACATAGTAACAGACAATGAAAAGCTGGAGTTTGTTCGAGGGATTGAGAACCTTTACTTTTGCTGTTTTATAAAACAATTCTAAAACTAAGGTAGAAAAGCCACAGGTATTTGGCCCACAAAGTTGGTCAATAAAATAGATCAGAATTCCCTGGTTGAACCTTCAGTCACCACTTACTTTTGATGCCCATATGAAATAAGCTAACGGTCTCAGTCCAGTTCCTAGTGGACATAATCATATTTAGCACTAATGAGTCCTCCTTGCTATAAGGGTTGGCGGAGAGGCCAAGGACTGAATGGTTATGGATACCAAACTACGCTCTCACCCCAATGTGATGAGGCACATTGGCAAGGCGTTGTAGGAAATCTCACTGACTTACCTATTGTGTGGACAGAGTTCAGTTTCCAGCACTGTCAAGCTGCCACTTGCACAAGCACCAAATTCACTTCAACTTAGAATTTTAAAAAATAATACGAACCCTTGGATTTGAAATGAACAAAAAACCTACCTGACCTCAGGATCTTGTAGTACTTACAGGTCCTAGACAGTTTCATTGTACTGTTCCTTTAAATATTAGTGACATGGAATTACGTGGGAGCCTGCTTTTGAGGCTATTGGGCTTAGTGAGAAGGAAAATGCCCAGCCCCAATTCAGGATTCAAGAGTTTTAGTACTCCTCAGTTCCAATTCAAAATTACAGTAGAACCTCAGAGTTACGAACACCAGAGTTACAAACTGACCAGTCAACCACACACCTCATTTGGAACTGGAAGTACGCAATTAGGCATCAGCAGAGACCCCACCAAAAAAAACCCCAAACACGCAAATACAGTACTGTGTTAAATGTAAACTACTAAAAAAATTAAGGGAAAGCAAAATTTTTCTTCTGCATAGTAAATTTCAAAGCTGTATTAAGTCAATGTTCAGTTGTAAACATGTGAAAGAATAGCCGTAATGTTTTGTTCAGAGTGCCGAACATTTCAGAGGTATGAACAACCTCCATCGGGTCTGATCCCTACTTTGTTGAACACACACTGTATTAATTTCCTACAATTCCTTACAGTACGTTGGCTGTGCTTATGTTTGGATCTATTATCTCCACACACCAAATTAAAAAATTAAAAAATTTCTGAGACTGAATATAACATTCACTAAGCTACCCCACGTTATTAAAAGGAAGCTACCTTTGGGATCTAGGCAATGTACATTTATACTTCTTTAGACACAGCAGAGTCTCAAAGCCAGTAGGGTTTCCATATTAAAGGAAAAGATAAAAAAAAAAAAAGAACAGGAAAAAAAACAAGTTCTTGGGTTCTCCTCTACTCCCATAATTCAGTTATTCATGGTAAAAGTTCTCAAAAATTAAAAAAATAACTAAGGGAAAAAAATCGGTTGGCTATAAAACTCCATGGCTTAATAATGGAGAAGTAATTTGTGCTATTTGTGCTTAATTGCATATTCTCACTGAACATAAGTGGTATATAATTCTCAGTCTAGTGTCTTCTTGATTAATTATTTAAACTATTATTTTGTATCGGAGTCTAGTTACACTGGTCCAATTGTCTACTTCGCAAAGAGTAAAATTCTTAGATCCTTTTAATTTCACACATTTGTGATGATGAAATTAATTATCCTCCCCCGTACACCCAGACATACCAAATTATTTTACTGGCTTACTACAATCACATAATTTTACAAGAACTAGCTTGAACCTACAAGTTAAATAAGACAATCAATAGGATTCTTTGCATGAAGCATCAGTGTATGTTTGAACTGTATAACAGGACCAGTTCCATGAGCCAAATATGCAGAAAGAGTCAAGATCATCATGAACCAGTTTTGGTGGTTTTTAATTTATCAACAAAAAACCAACCAAGGCCAACACCGTATACCTATGCTATTGTTAAATAAAAGACACAGGCTACTTTCCTCTACCTAAAGCATCCATATCATGATTAACAATCAGAATAATCTTCCTTGAAATTCACTTCCTGTCCTAAACTGTTGTGCAGTGTTGCTGTGCGTTGTTAAACAGTTGCTATCTCACCCCACAGGCTGCCTTTCAGTAGCAGATGAAGCAATCCCTGCATAGCATTTGTAGATCATTCTTACTTTTGGAAAGAACTTTTGGTTTCTATGGGATGAAAGGTGCTATAGTAAATGCAAGATATTACTTATTCCTCTCTAATTTAAACTCAGCTAGGATTTTAGGACAATTTGCCTCAGTAAAGTATCCACTATACTAGTTCTCTTATATTTTAAAAGACAAAAATATAAACTACTATATGTTATAAAGCACCATTTGTGTATATGATGCTTCATGGACATATAAAATGACAAGGAAACAATAAATCACTGATTTACCACCTGCTGAGCTTGGGTCACCATATCCTTGTAGACTGTGTCTAGGCTGAGATTTGACAAAGTTGTTAATGCTGATACAATGGTCTCTGCTTGTTCTTTACCAAAACCTGGAAGACAGTTGAAGGATGACAGGTTAAGATGAAATCAAAAATTGTATGGAGAGGCAAGCAAAAGTTACACAAGCATAAAGTTCAGTATGCAAGTGCAAAGGTAAGTTACAAGTCACACTGCCAGTGACATGGATTCAACCACCAAGCTACCAAAACTTTTAAGATCACCAACTTTTCAAAATTCTGAACTTTTTCAGCTTTGAATCTGAAGTGCATCCATTATATTTTGAATTACAAAAACCAATGACCTTCTGCAGGTGCCGCATGCAACAGGAGCATAATCTGCAACCTGTTCAACTGCCACGGGCTATTTAGTTTTTCCTAATGTACAGTATTTTCTCACTGTCAAGGTTCCTTCCCCACTCTGAACTCTAGAGTACAGATGTGGGACCTACATGAAAGACCCCCTAAGCTTATTCTTACCACTTTAGGTTAAAAACTTCCCCAAGGTACAAACTTTGCCTTGTCCATGAACCATATGCTACCACCACCACGCGTTTTAAACAAAGAACAGGGAAAGAGCCCACTTGGAGACGTCTTCCCCCAAAATATCCCCTCCAAGCCCTACACTCCCTTTCCTGGGGAAGGCTTGATAAGAATCCTCACCAATTTGTACAGGTGAACACAGACCAAACCCTTGGATCTTAAGAACAATGAAAAATCAATCAGGTTCTTAAAAGAAGAATTTTAATTAAAGAAAAGGTAAAAGAATCACCTCTGTAAAATCAGGATGGTAAATACCTTACAGGGTAATCGGATTCAAAACATAGAGAATCCCTCTAGGCAAAACCTTAAGTTACAAAAAGACATAAAAATAGGAATATACATTCCATCCAGCACAGCTTATTTTACCAGCCATTAAACAAAAGGAAATGAATGCATTTCTAGCTAGATTACTTACGAACTTAACAGCAGTTGTAAGGCTGCATTCCTGATCTGTTCCCAGCAAAAGCATCACACAGACAGACAAACCCTTTGTTCCCCCCATCCAGATTTGAAAGTATCTTGTCCCCTCATTGGTCATTTTGGGTCAGGTGCCAGCAAGGTTATCTTAGCTTCTTAACCCTTTACAGGTGAAAGGGTTTTGCCTCTGGCCAGGAGGGATTGTATAGCACTGTATACAGAAAAGTGGTTACCCTTCCCTTTATATTTATGACACTCACAAATACTATTTAATAAACCAGGTTTATCCTTTGCTACAGAGTGTGCATCCTAGGGGAAAAAAAAGAATGAAATTAATAAGGGAATCCTACATAGACTGAAATTGCTCCACATCCTTTGAGGCAAATTCAGACTGGGCATAAGCATGTGAAACATTGTTGACTTCAAGAGCACTGCACCTGTTTACACCAGGCCAAAATTTGGCCGTCAGGACTTTTACTTACCAGTGCTAACACTTTATGTGTAGTCTGGTATGATTCTAAAGCTTTAGCTTCCCTGGAGTCTCAATTATTTTTTAAAAAAAACTAGCTCATTTTTCTAATTACCAGCCCAATCCACACCCAAGCTGCATGGAAGTTCGGAGAATGTCATAATATCTATTTGTACTGTAAATATTTTACACTGGAAGGAGGTTGGACTCAATAGGTCTCTTCCCTCCTCTAATGCCTATAACCTCTATGTTTAGAGCCTGATCACTGTAATATCTGAGTTTTTTTATCTAAGGCAAGACCATATCAAAGATGGGACAAACGAACTTGAGAAAGAAAATGTAAAGTTAAGTGTTCAGGTAAATCTTAGACTGCACCCAAGCAATGCAGCACAGGTGATATGCAAGATGAATCACTTTTGAGCCCAGTGGAGGGCTATATGAGATATGATACTAATGTATAAAAAGGCAAGTGAAGGATAGAATGCTACAATATATTTAGTCTCCCACCTCTGTCATTTTAAATCAAACCTTTTAAAGAAACATTGTTTTTACATAACCTAAATTTGGGGCCTAACCTGACGTATGCAAAATTTAACAAAACGTAAAATCAAAGTGTTTCTATGACATTTTCTTTTTAAAAAATCCCAATACAACCTGGATTTAAGCATTCCTCTGAAGTGTTTGAATCCCCAACACTGCACTATCATATTAGCGTATGAGAACTGGATATGTTTTTTTTTTTTTTATACAGTGTTTCAACATTGTCCAAGCTGAGTGAAATGAAAAAAATGTACACAAAAAGCAAGTGGGGGAAAAGTCAATTAGATTTTTTTAAAATTTCAATTTCAATAAATTAAGGGCTTATTAGGAACTGGAAGAAGGAATGTATATTTTAAAAGGTGATTTTAATATGACCATCACAGTTATTCTTTATATTTTAGTGATACTTTACACTTACAGAGTGCATTAAGTTTCTCTGACGAAAGGCACTACATATAAGCTTCCACAAACCTACAAGGTAAGTAAATGTTACCTTACTCAGTTTATTTTTATGGCTGTATAGACAACAATCTACATGCAACGCTTCCATTTACACTGTAGCAGCTAGTAACAGACATGCATGACAAACAGGAACCCCTTAATACTTTTGGGAAAATAGCAGTTTGATTTCACTTGAGTTACTTAATAGGTATTGCTCACCATGCACTTCCAGCTCTCGTACCAATGCATGGGTATCAAAGGTTAGCTTTCTCTGTTCCAGTGGGGTTATTTCAACTCTTCTCATGTCATACGACTTCACAGGGGCTGTGGCAGCAAAACCTGAAAATGGCAAGAAGCCATTAAGAAGTTGTTTACTCATTCGCTTCCTTGTTAATTTTATCATGGAATGCAATAACATTAAAGAGTTTTTGCTGCATAATCTTTCATAGTGGAAAGGAGGACCCCAGTGCACGAATATGTGTGCAACAAAGAGTGTTGGTCCTCCTTCAATGGCTTGATTATAAAACAGAGGGAAGTAGTCAGTCTAGCCAGCATTTTCTCCTTCCCCTAAATGTTCTAAATCTCATAATTGTCCTCATTGTCTTTACAAAGGTTTGCTCCACCACTAGGACCCCAAACAACAATCCCAAATTCAGGTATCCAAGCCTCCGGGTATACCAAAGATCAAAATACTGTGATTGAATAACTTGATGATTATCCGATGAAGTGAGCTGTAGCTCACGAAAGCTCATGCTCAAATAAATTGGTTAGTCTCTAAGGTGCCACAAGTACTCCTTTTCTTTTTGATGATTATCGGTAATGTATTAACTATTAAAGGAAGGCATTTAAATTATGTTTCTACTTTTAAAAGTGTAACTGTTCTAATGTAGCCAACAAGAAATGGGTTGCACAATTAGCATCATTCAGCTGGCCCTGTCAGAAAACTACACACCCACCAGCTGCATTCTTCACACCAACTTCTTCCCCAGCACCCTATCAGCAAAGGGACTGCATCTGCTAGTGACACACAAAACGGTAGTGCTATGTAAATAAATCACCAATAATTATGCAGTGCCAGTGCTTGGGAAGAATTTACTGGTTTACCAACTAACCAGTTAGGCAACAGACTTTGACACATGATTTTAACACCTAACATATCACAGATTTGTTGAGTTAGAGATAATTGATTTTACTGCATGAAAGATGACATCCCAGAGGATATAAAGAACTGCGATTTGAAGTTTTAACAGTTCTTGTGATTTACCCATGCCTGCATCTCTAATTTCCTAGAAGCTTTCACTCCTCTGTGCATCTCCTTCTCCAACCTGTTTCAAATAGTCTCCTAATTGCTATCCAGCAAAACCTGTCTTTCACATCTAAATCCCTGCTGAAAACCCATTTCTTGTACATATCCTTCCTTCCTACCACTAACTCTCTCCCTTCACTAAACTGTTGTCCTAGTCTTGTCATGGCTTTGATTAGGAAAAGAAATAGAGGTCAGATCAGTATTTGTTAACACATAGGCCAACCTCCTCCAGCTAAATCAAAGTCAATGTTAATCTGCATCTACACTAGGGAACTAGTTGTGGTTAATTAATCCTGACCTCACTTCCTAATCTATACAAAAGCCTATATTAAATTTAAGATGATTGGGATAGAGAAAAGGTACAATTCTATTTAAGAAATGCATGTAAATTGCTTATGTGGCAATATACAATATTTAAGTTTAATAATTCCCAGCTCTCCAATGCTATAAAGTATTCACTTCTAACTAGTGCTGTCAAGCAATTAAAAAAATTAATCACGACTAATCGCGCTGTTAAACAATAATAGAATACCATTTATTTAAATATTTTGGACGTCTCCTACATTTTCAAATATATTGATTTCAATTACAACACAGAATATAAAGTGTACAGTGCTCACTTTATTTTTTATTACAAACATTTGCACTGTAAAAAAACCTTCAATTCACCTCATTGAAGTACTGTAGTGCAAGCTCTTTATCACAAAAGTTGACTTATAAATGTAGAACTACGTAAAAAAGAATAACTGTACTTAACAATAAAACAATGTAAAACTTTAGAGCCTACAAGTCCACTCAGGCCTACTTCTTGTTCTGCCCATCACTCAGACAAGCATTCAGTGTTCGGGGCGGACAGAGGAGGGGGGAAGTAAGCGATGACTTGTGCAGGAAGAGGGCCTGGAGGACAGGGGGCGACAATGGGGAGGAGCAAGCAGTAACTTGTGCAGGAGAAGGGTGAGGAAGGTGTCTTACTGCTGCTTCTGAATGGGTGGTTTCTGGTACTGGGCTCGCCAGGCTTGCCTCCTTTTACTGAGCTAGGTGGGTTCCCTTCAGCTGAGTGAGCCCTTGTTCGCAAGGGAGGGTGGATTTTACCTCAGGGACTCACCATACTGCCAGGGAGGAGAGGCTGGTGCAGGGAGGCTGAGCCCACCAGGCCCATGTTCTCTATGGGGTACCCCAGAGAGAGCGGCCAGCTAGGGGCAATGGGGCACGATGCAGGGGGGTTGGTCCTCTGGGACCAAGGGGCCAACCAGGAACAACAGGGCCTGGGCTGGCTAGGGAGCCGATATATCCTATTTTGGCCAGGGCAGTCTCCTTTTTCAGCTCTGTCCCGGCCGTCCCTACTTCTTCACCAAAACTGGGCATTTGTCCCAGCTGCAAGGCAGAGCATAGTGGCAGCTGCTGCCCAGGGAGCAGCTCTGAAGGCAGCACTGCCCGCCAGCAGGAAAGTGGAGAAATTTGCTGCTGGCGGACAGTGCTGGCTTCAGAGCTGACCCCTGGGCAGCCCAGAGTTGGGGGAAATCAGCCTCAGCCGGGGAGGCAGGGAGCTGGGGGCAAGGGAGATCAGCCTCAGCAGGGGTAAGCACAGAGCTCAGGTCAGGGGGCGGGGGAGAGGGAGGATCAGCCCCAGTTTTGGGCAACACAGGTCTGGGGGTGGGGGTCAGCCCCAGGCTGCATGGGGCTGGGAGGGGGAGACCCCACTGTGGGCAGTGAGGCACTCGGGGGTGGGGGTCAGCCCCCAAGGTCAGGGGGTGGCACAGGGCTCGGGGTCAGCCCCAGGCAGCATGGGGCTCGGGGGTGGGGGTCAGCCCCAGTTGCGGGCATCACAGGGCTTGGGGTCAGCCTATTAATTATACAGAACTACCTCACTCAGTCAGTCCCCTCTGGTCTTGCAGTGCTTTTTTTCTTGACCAGGACTGAACATATTATATTACATGCAAAAAAACTCCAAACCATTAAGAGAATGTTAAGGTTGCAAAGTCAAGCACTCAAAAGTTAGGAAATGTCAGAATTAAGGTTGCCTGTGTGCATTCTGATAGTCTTTATTTATGTGATGGTATACTATTTTTTCCACAGGACCCCTGCACAAGCCCCCACTCTTTAGGTCCTGGCTCCACCGAAATCTTGCTAATTCTTTCTGCACAACAGCTCCAAGATACAGCCTTTCCTATCCACCCACACAGCTAAAAAGCTCATCCAGGCTCTCATTTCACATCCTCTTTGCTGGCCTTGACATTCTTGCCCTGCTTATAGCCTTCAAAATGTTCCTATAAAAATCATCTTCCTAGCTCATCACACTGAGTACTTCACCCCTCTCTTTGCCTCCCTCCACTGGCTCCCCCTTCTCTAACATTTCAAATGTAAGCAATTTACTTTCACTTTAAAGGCCTTTCATGGGAATTCTAGAGCCTCCCTTAGGAGCCTATTCCAGAGCTTAATTATCCTCATAGTTGAAAAGTTTTTTTTCCTAACATCTAACCTGAATCTCTGTTGCTGCAGATCAAGCCCATTACTTCTTGTCCTGCCTGTATGGGTATACAAAATAATTGATCATCATCCTCTTTATAACAGTCTCTAACATATTTGAAATCTGTTATCTGGTATTCCATCTGTCTTCCTTTGTCAAGACTAAACATGCTCATTTTAACCTTTCCTCAAAGGTCTGGTTTCTAAATCTTATCATTTTTGTAGCTTTCTTCTGGACTCTCTATTTTGTCCACATCTTTCTTAAAGTGTAGCATCCAAAACTGGACAGAGTACTCCAGCTGGGACCTTACCAGTGCCAAATAGCAAGAGTCTTACAAACAACATTCCAGTTAATATGGCCCAGAATACTGACCTTTTTTGCAGCTGCATCACATTGCTGGTACACATTCAGTTTGTGATTTTTCACTACAACTCACAGATCCTTTTTAGCGGTACTACCAATTAGACAGTTATAATCCATTTTGTAGCTGATTTGTCCTTCTTAAGTGTAGTACTTTGCACTTATCTTTATGGAATTTCATCTTGTGGAATTCAGACTAATTTCCCAGTTTGTCAAAATAATTCTGAATTCTAACCCTGTCCTCCAACGTGCTTGCACATCACCCCACATGCTACTTATCAATTCTCATACACTACTGAGCTCGACTCCCACCTCTGCTCTGCCAGTAAGCCCAGTCTTCTCAGTCAACCACTTATATTTTCAAATGAGCACTTTCCTGCTTTCGCTCTCACTGCTCCTCATGCCTACAAGGAAATTCCCATAAAAATCTGCAAATCCACCTCACTGTCCTCCTTCAAATCCCTTCTTTGCTGTGATGCCACCAAAAAACCAACACAAAACACCTAGACTGCAGTTTGACACAGAGTGAGCAGGGACTGCTGCCAATCATGCTGACCAGTATTATTTCAGAGTATGTCTTCACTACCCACCTTAAAGCGCTGCCACGGCAATGCTTTCACATGGCTGCAAAAAAACCACCCCTAGGAGAGGAATAGCTACCCCGGTGCACGGTCTACACGGCCATTTTATAGCGCTGAAACCCACATCGCTGGGGGTGTGTGTGTGTTTTCACACCCCTGAGCGAGAATGTTTCAGCGCTGTAAAGTGGCCGTGTAGACAAGGCCTCCCCCTCCATACTCGCCCATTGTCTCTTGCCTTAGGCTTGGACTGCAAGCTCTCTGGGGCGGGGGCTGCGATTTTGTTCTTTTGTACAGCGCCTAGCACCCTGCTGGGGCCCTGGTCCGTGATGGGGGAGCCCCTCGGCACGGAGATACACAATGAGGCCAGGCCCCCGCACTTGCTGACAGGGTGACCCGCACTCATGCCTGTGGCACCGGGGGGGGGGGGGGAGGGCGCTACGAGCTCTCCCAGCTGGGTACTGACCGGGGGGGGGGGGGGGGGGGGCTCACACCGGCCAGAGTGGGGCGGGGGAGGCTCACACCGGCCAGTGCCCACCGGGGAAACTCATCCCCCCCCGGGGGCGCCTCTCACCTCTCCTTGGGGCCGGCAGCGCGGCGCCCCAGCCGCCCCCCGAGGCCAGGAGCCTCCGGCCCAGCCCGCCGCCCCTCATCCGCCTCCTCCGCCGCGCGGGGCCCGCGAGCCGCAGAGCCACGGACAGCGTCCCGCCCCCCCCGCCGGCGGCTGCGGCTCTCCCGGCGGGCGCCCCGGGGCGCTCTGGGAATTGTAGTCTGGCGGGGCCGCCCGGCACCTCGGAGACGCAGCGTGCGGCCTGGGCGCGGCGCCCTGGTGCGGTCCCACGCGCACACACTTCCACTCGTAATCCCCGCCTTGCGTGCGCACAGCCGCACGTCTTCACACTCATTCCCTCGCACACAGTCCCGCACCCTCCACCGGTATCACACCCCTTGGTGACACAGCACGTCTTCACACTCATTCCCTCGCACACACGTCCCCGCACGCCTCCACCGGTATGCACACCCCCTTGCGTGCACACACCCGCACGTCTTCACACTCATGCCCTCGCACGCACACGTCCCCGCACGCCTCCACCGGTATGCACACCCCCTTGCGTGCACACACCCGCACGTCTTCACACTCATTCCCTCGCACGCACACGTCCCACACACCTCCACCGTATGCACACCCCCTTGCGTGCACACACCCGCACGTCTTCACACTCATTCACTCACACGCACACGTCCCCGCAGCCTCCACCGGTATGCACACCCCCTTGCGTGCACACACCCGCACGTCTTCACACTCATTCCCTCGCACGCACACGTCCCCGCACGCCTCCACCGGTATGCACACCCCCTTGCGTGCACACACCCGCACGTCTTCACACTCATTCACTCACACACACACGTCCCACACACCTCCACCGTATGCACACCCCCTTGCGTGCACACACCCGCACGTCTTCACACTCATTCACTCACACGCACACGTCCCCGCACGCCTCCACCGGTATGCACACCCCTTGCGTGACACACCCGCATGTCTTCACACTCATTCACTCACATGCACACGTCCCAACACCTCCACCGGTATCACACCCCTTGCGTGCACACACCCGCACGTCTTCACACTCATTCCCTCGCACGCACACGTCCCCGCACGCCTCCACCGGTATGCACACCCCCTTGCGTGCACACACCCGCACGTCTTCACACTCATGCCCTCGCACGCACACGTCCCCGCACGCCTCCACCGGTATGCACACCCCTTGCGTGCACACACCTGCACGTCTGCACACTCATGCCTCGCACGCACACGTCCCCACACGCCTCCACCGGTATGCACACCCCCTTGCGTGCACACACCCGCACGTCTTCACACTCATTCCCTCGCACGCACACGTCCCCGCACGCCTCCACCGGTATGCACACCCCCTTGCGTGCACACAGCCGCACGTCTTCACACTCATTCCCTCGCACGCACACGTCCCCGCACGCCTCCACCGGTATGCACACCCCCTTGCGTGCACACACCCGCACGTCTTCACACTCATTCCCTCGCACGCACACGTCCCCGCACGCCTTCACTGGTATGCACACCCCCTTGCGTGCACACACCCGCACGTCTTCACACTCATTCCCTTGCACGCACACGTCCCCGCACGCCTCCACCGGTATGCACACCCCCTTGCGTGCACACAGCCGCACGTCTTCACACTCATTCCCTCGCATGCACACGTCCCCGCACGCCTCCACCGGTATGCACACCCCCTTGCATGCATACACCCGCACGTCTTCACACTCATTCACTCACATGCACACATCCCCACACGCCTCCACTGGTATGCACACCCCCTTGCGTGCACACACCCGCACGTCTTCACACTCATTCCCTCGCACGCACACGTCCCCGCACGCCTCCACCGGTATGCACACCCCCTTGCGTGCACACAGCCGCACGTCTTCACACTCATTCCCTCGCACGCACACGTCCCCGCACGCCTCCACCGGTATGCACACCCCCTTGCATGCATACACCCGCACATCTTCACACTCATTCACTCACATGCACACATCCCCGCACGCCTCCACCGGTATGCACACCCCCTTGCATGCATACACCCGCACGTCTTCACACTCATTCACTCACATGCACACATCCCCACACGCCTCCACTGGTATGCACACCCCCTTGCGTGCACACACCCGCACGTCTTCACACTCATTCCCTCGCACGCACACGTCCCCGCACGCCTCCACCGGTATGCACACCCCCTTGCGTGCACACAGCCGCACGTCTTCACACTCATTCCCTCGCACGCACACGTCCCCGCACGCCTCCACCGGTATGCACACCCCCTTGCATGCATACACCCGCACATCTTCACACTCATTCACTCACATGCACACATCCCCACACGCCTCCACTGGTATGCACACCCCCTTGCGTGCACACACCCGCACGTCTGCACACTCATTCACTCACATGCACACATCCCCGCACGCCTCCACTGGTATGCACACCCCCTTGCGTGCATACACCCGCACGTCTTCACACTCATTCCCTCGCACGCACACATCCCCACACACCTCCACCAGTATGCACACCCCCTTGCGTGCACACACCCGCACGAGCACACTTTCACTCATGCACACCCACACATGCATACACTTGTGCAAAGGGGCAATACCCACACAGATGCACTCATGCACCGGTAGATGCACAGCCACTTGCACACATTTAATTGTTCAGTTATGGTGCTACCTCCATTGTGAATCCTTACATGGTTTCCCAGACACCTAGTTCTGGAGCAGATAAGAATTTTAAATGGAGTCAAACAGAGCTCAGTACTTGGTACCTACCTGGATACTTATATGGGGATGGCTTTGCAGAGAGGGAATCAAATTTCCTGTGGTCTCCTAGAGGTCTTCCTACAGATCACATGAGAGGCTCATCTCTTATTTACAAACTGCTGTGATGTATGGAATCACAGATCATCTTAAACATGATAACTCTACAGACACTTAAGGAACAGGCATCCACACTGCTCTAGTTCCAGTAGGGTGACCAGACAGCAAATGTGAAAAATCAGGGCGGGAGGTGCGGGGTAATAGGAGCCTATATAAGAAAAAGACCCAATAATCAGGACTGTCCCTATAAAATCGGGACATCTGGTCCCCCTATGTGATCTGGCTTTGTTTACTTTCAGGAGCCACGCTGTGTCTGGAATGCTGTACAGCAGATAGAGACATCTAGTGGGTGAATTATTTAACTTCAAGCAAATATCATTTCATTAACTCGTTCAGTTTCTCAGCATTGCCCGTCTACTCTCCAACAGTCCCTGCTATAGCATCACTTCTGTTCCTGCCAGGTGGTTAGTCTCTAAGGTGCCACAAGTACTCCTTTTCTTTTTGCGAATACAGACTAACACGGCTGCTACTCTGAAACCAGACACACATTGCTACTTTGCATGAAATCTGTAGCTGTTTCTCAGCTTTCAGTCACGCAAATTGTGGTGTGAGGAGATGAAATCTTTGCCCCTTTAATGAATGCACATAACTCTCTCTGTCTCCACCAGTCATGGAGCTGCCCCATTTTAGCACATTAAGTTACAGCAACAATGAATATTAGAAGTATTTAAAAAAAAGGAGTGTTTACACTTTGTCTGCTCATATGCTCTCCATTCCTGGAGTTAGTCTCTTCCCTGATCACTTAGAAGCCATGACGATTGTCAACATGCTGTCTGCTTCTGACCCAGTAAAAGAGAAAAGGAGTACTTGTGGCACCTTAGAGACTAACAAATGTATCCGAGCATAAGCTTTCGTGAGCTACAGCTCACTTCATCAGATGCATGCAGTGGAAAATAAAGTGGGGAGATTTATATACACAGAGAACATGAAACAATGGGTATTACCATACAGACTGTAACAAGAGTGATCAGGTAAGGTGAGCTATTACCAGCAGGAGAGCGCAGGGGACGGGGGACGGGGACGGACAGTGACATTTTGTAGTGATAATCAAGGTGGGCCATTTCCAGCAGTTGACAAGAACGTAGGGGGGGAAATAAACAAGGGGAAATAGTTTTACTTTGTGTAATGACACATCCACTCCCAGTCTTTATTCAAGCCTAAGTTAATTGTATCCAGTTTGCAAATTAATTCCAATTCAGCAGTCTCTCGTTGAAGTCCGTTTTTGAAGATTTTTTGTTGAAGAATTGCCACTTGTAGGTCTGTAATCGAGTGACCAAAGAGATTGAAGTGTTCTCCGACTGGTTTTTGAATGTTATAATTCTTGACGTCTGATTTGTGTCCATTTATTCTTTTACGTAGAGACTGTCCAGTTTGGCCAATGTACATGGCAGAGGGGCATTGCTGGCACATGATGACATATATCACAGTAAAGAATCTCTTTTAGCTTGGCTAAGGTTTTCATATACCCAAGCAGCTGGATTTTGATCTCAGTTACTGTCATAAATATAAAGGGAAGGGTAAACCCCTTTGAAATCCCTCCTGGCCAGGGGAAAGCTCCTCTCACCTGTAAAGGGTTAAGAAGCTAAAGGTAACCTCGCTGGCACCTGACCAAAATGACCAATGAGGAGACAAGATACTTTCAAAAGCTGGGAGGAGGGAGAGAAACAAAGGGTCTGTGTGTCTGTCTATATACTGGTTTCTGCAGGGGACAGACCAGGAATGGAGTCTTAGAACTTTTAGTAAGTAATCTAGCTAGGTACGTGTTAGATTATGATTTCTTTAAATGGCTGAGAAAAGAATTGTGCTGAATAGAATAACTATTTCTGTCTGTGTATCTTTTTTGTAACTTAAGGTTTTGCCTAGAGGGGTTCTCTATGTTTTTGAATCTAATTACCCTGTAAGATATCTACCATCCTGATTTTACAGGGGGGATTTCTTTATTTCTATTTACTTCTATTTTTATTAAAAGTCTTCTTGTAAGAAAACTGAATGCTTTTTCATTGTTCTCAGATCCAAGGGTTTGGGTCTGTGGTCACCTATGCAAATTGGTGAGGCTTTTTATCCAACATTTCCCAGGAAAGGGGGGGTGCAAGTGTTTGGAGGATTGTTCATTGTTCTTAAGATCCAAGGATCTGGGTCTGTAGTCACCTAAGCAAATTGGTGAGGCTTTTTACCAAACCTTGTCCAGGAAGTGGGGTGCAAGGTTTTGGGAAGTATTTTGGGGGGAAAGACGCGTCCAAACAGCTCTTC